TGAACCATATTTCAGTAAATCTATGCTCTACTTACCATTATAGTCCACACAAAATATAGCTCGATTCTCGTCTTTATAAAATTGAATGTCCTTCTTTGGAATAGCTTTATCATATTTATCCTGGCATTGTCTCGAATTGATTGAAGCAGTTTTTGTATTTTTAATATCATTTGTAGATATATCATGAGATGACCAATGAATTAATGACAAACTATTGGATGATTCTAAATTGTCAAAAGGCAAGCAAGCTGGATAAAATGAACTCGTAAATGTTAAAGGTTGTGATAATTTTATCAATCCTATATCAGCTCTTTCATCGTTGTTCTCAATGTAGTCTCTATGTTGAATTAACTGTAAATTTTTCCTTGGTATGATTTTATTAAAGTTGTCGCCAAAAGTTGAACTAAGAAGAATTTCAGAACTTTTGGTAAAAAGCATGATTTTATTAGAATTTAATTAATTTTTTTCAATTTAAAAACTTACATTTTTAAATCTTCATCTTCATCTAAGCAGTGTGACGCTGTCAGTAATAAGTCGTCTACAAAAAAGATATTTTAATGTGAGTATTTTCCAATGCAAAAAAAAGTCTCTAGGTCAGAAAATGGGGAATTTAATATAAACTTGTTTATATTTAACTCTGCCTTATCGAAAAAAATTCAAAAAAAAAATATCCAAAAAAGCACCAAAATACCCAAAAGCTTTAAAAATTTCAATAAAATCTATAATATTTCACAAATGTTATCAGATAACTTGTTATGTTCAGTCTATATTCGAATAGAAAATATATTCCCATACTTTAAAAACAACGTCAGTTATTACGCATCGAATAAAATCTTAATGATTTTATGACGTATACTCTTTCTGTTCAATGTCTCTCCACAAGTATATTGAACATGCGAATGTTATAAACTTTTAATGCTTGGTAATTTTTTGAAAACCTTAGTCTTCAAGCAACAAACTTATTAAAGTTAAATAAAAACTCAAATTTCATCAAATTAAAATTGCTTCTTATACAATTTTATAATAAATCACTACTTACCGGCTATCACAAATGCCACACATGAATGTTTATCTTCGTTGCCATTTTTTCGTAAAATTCTTACAAGCCATGGAAATTCAAATAAAGATGAATCATCCTGAAAATTTATTGCTTGATTCAAAGTGCAGCCGTTTCTGCTGAATTTTGGATAATTTACATGACTTTTCAAATCGGAACTAGGTTTTGGCCAGAAAATTAATAAGGCTGCTGCAATCACTGAAACAGCTCCACAAATTACTATACAAATTAATATCACTGTCTTGTAGCTATCCCAAACTGACATGTTTTTTTCTGTCTCTAAATCTTCTTCAATATTATATACGGAAACTTCACTGCCTCTTAAAGTCTGGTTATACAGTTCCGCTGTTGAATCATTGGATTCAGTATACATTTTTGATAAAATTTAGGATTTTTTATTTCAACAATAATTTACAGTTTATAAAATGTTACAATTTAAAATCTAAGTTTAAATAATTTTCATAAATGTAATAAAATAAGCAAAACTTCAAAACATAAACGGTAAAATATTTTATCACAATTTCAATTTATATACGTGTTAACTTTTGAGAAGATAATTGAGAACTGAATATCTTTAACCGTTGAATCATGCTCTTAAAGACTTTGATTCGAATAAGTAGCCGTGGAAAAGTAACTAAGTTATAAAAATTACTGGGAAAATTTTATTGAAATAAATTTCAAAAGTCCTCGTGTTATTGATCACGTTTGTGAGACTTCAGCGCATTTTTGTCGAAGCGATCAGTAATTGACTGGCAAGTTAAGGCGAATTAAAAAGCAAAATAAAGCATAAAATTAATTTTAGAAGCATTTGAACTCATATTTTGTTGTATTTTGTAAATTCAACGAATTTCGTACAAAATCATGCGTAATTTAAAACTTACGTAAGTTAGTATAATTTACTACGTAGAAGAAAAACCAAATTCCAGTAAATTCGTGTTTTTAATACTTTAAACAATTCAAATACAAATTTTAAATAATAGAGGTACTTGAAAATTTTACCGGTTACACTCTATGAAGGATAGTTTCCACAGGTTGCACTTTATTTAAATTAAAAAAAAAACATTAATTATAATATATACACACTGTTTTAAGACTTTTAACTGTTCGATGGGCCGATAAATCGATAGTAACGGAGCTTATCAAACAATCCCGAGCTCTCTCCGATGTCTGGTTAAAAAGATTTTCTGGCCCCGAACGAACGAACAAAGTGTATTATTAAGCTAGTTTTTCGAAACAAGTTTCAAAAATACGTTAAAAAGTATTAATAAGATGAAAAGTAAGATGATGTGTTTACTGTTTCTGAGGGATGTGCACTTTACTGGGAAAATGAGCTATGCTGGTTAGTTAATTACGCAACACAAAATTATTTTTGAGGGTGAGGGTCATTACTAAAGTCACTTTGGTGCTTGGCGAAGATCAATTTGATTTTGTCAACTTATCTCTGGTCGCAGACAATTATTGGCAATTGATTCTGATTTCATTCATGATCAATTTTATTATTTATTGATTTCAGTGACTCATCCGGAAGCAGTAACAACGAAGCTGTTTAATGAATATAACATTAAGTTCAATCAATTTCGATGTGTTTCCATAGAAATACTCACAAATATATTTATGCCTTATTTATGTTAATATGATTTTCTTATATCAGCCCACGCTTTTTTTTGTTTTTTTCATCCAATGTTACCTTTTTCATTAAAACCTGATGTTATATCATCGAATTTCACAATTATCTGAAAGACCTTAAGTTGTTAATAATTTTCACAAGACAAACAAAAAAACAATATTGCTTGTATTCATTCTCTTTTTATTGCAATTTCATATTATTTAAAAGAATCTTTATAAATGCTAAACCAATTTAACTTAAATACTATTTTGGAATTTTGCAAAATTCATCACCTGCATTACATACAATCCAATGTAAATATGGATAAATATTCGTAAAAATTTGTGGCTTTTTAACACCACGAATTGTTCCCAAAGAAATTATTCCATAAGCTATAGGCTGATTTTCATTCATTAGCTGAATTGGCATGCCGCTATCCCCTTGATCTATGTAAGTGTCTAAGGATATTTTGTCATAAAATTTGATAATCACGGAAACTATTAAAAAATATAAATTTACCATCATTTCCTCCACAGAACTTTTTTGAAATCGACTTCTTTTGAAAATTTGCAACAACAATTTTCTTTCTATCCACAAATGTTCGATTAGATCGTCGGCTGCAATCGTCTGGAGAAAAAATTGGAATGACTTTTTCTTTGAGCATCGGTTTATTAGTGTTATTTTGTTTATCAATCCATCCAGTTAATGTTAAGCTTTCAGGAATTAACGACCTTTCAAATGGCAAACGAATCGGATAAATGGTTTTTGAAAAATTTAATGGCTTGTTGAGTTTCATTAATGCAATGTCATGCTGTTGCTTGTAATAATCAAATTTTGGATGCAATAAAATTCTAAATTGATCATTTGAAAACACTTTTGAGTCACTAAAATCATTTTGAATAGTTCCACTAAGATGAATTTCGGTTCTAAAATTTATTATTCAAATTTAAATTAAGATTTTCAATTTGATTAAATTTAAATTTACTTCATTTTTTCTCCTGATTCAAAAACTAAACAATGAGCTGCTGTTGCTATATCACGATCTGTAAAAGTATGTTAAAATTTTTGTTTCCATAACTTTACTGGTTTGGCAACGTTTTTTAATAAATTTGAATACACCACCACAAAAGTTGCTTACCGTTTATAAGAAATCCAGAACATCCAAAATACGACTTATTTTTATATACATAAATAATTCTAACCATCCATGGATATTTATAAAAATCTACTTCACTTTTCGGTTCATAATATTTTTCATATGAAAAAACAAACTTTTTGTAATTTTTATGATGTTTTAAAAATACAGCCACAGAATCACCAAATAGTCCATTACAAGTATCAAATGATTGATAAGCAGAGTATAAAAGTAAGCATAATGGAAATACTATAAAAGCTGTTACCAGCAATGTCTTTATTACTTTTATGTAAAGTCTTTCAATTTTCACAAGACTATCTACATACTTTGTAGATAATCCGAGATCATCTGTTGTTTTTAATACTAACTCAAAGTGTTCTTCTTCTCGATTATTATTCACTAGTTCATATCTTGTATTATCACGTTTCAATCGATTTTGAGCCATTGATAATCTTTTATTATTCTTTATTTTTTATAAAATTTGAGCAAACAATTATTTTTTGAACGTCTGACATTTTTGATCGCTAAATGTTTACTAGCATTCCACTACAACACTCTTAATATAAAACAGCTTTATTTAATTAACACTTCAATTAATACTGTTGAATTTATTAACATGTGTAATGTGTGTTAACATAATTCGGAATAAATTGAATCCATTTAAACTATTCACAGACTTAAATTATCTACTGCTATGAAAAGATGATCAGCTTAAAACTGTGCGAAATGTATTAATTGACTGAATACACACTGTGAACATTTGTTTTATTTTTAACACTCTCAAATATTAAATTCAGAGAACACGCGACGTTCTCAATCGCCGGCAAATTGACAATGCGAGAAATATTTGCATTATCATCTTTTCATCTCTTCTGTGATCCTCGTTTGCATCAAAGAGAATATTTGAGTGAGAAAAGATAGATAAAAAGAAGATCAATTCCTCGTTATTTTGAACTTTTTACTGTCATTTTTTTTATGGCATCCAGTGTTGGATTTTATTGCTTCAAAACTTTTTTTTCTGTGACAATTTCGTGTTCTTAATTTTGCTTACGATCTAAATTGATTCATAAGTTTGATGCACATGTGCTTACTTCCCTATTTTATGGACATACAAATAAGAATAAATATGATTTTATTTAAATGACTCTTAAAGATAAATAATAGAAAATGACTCTTTAGCTGTAGTTGTCAACTCTCTTGTCTCAATATGAATGACATAAGATCCAGTGACGATAGTCATAAATTCTCGTCAACACAGTGGGTAAATCTTCGCCAAATTCTTTTTTGACTCCGAATGATACAAATCCATAAATAGTTGGAGCACCTGTTTTAAGATCATTTCCATAAACTGGCATTCCACTGTTACCAGGCGTGACAGCTGAAAGTATATTTATTACAATAAATCACAAATTAAAAATAAAGAAAATTCTTACATTTTTTCTCGGTACAGAATTGTTCAAATCTTACTTCCTTTTGGTTATTTTTGTTAACCAATTTTTTATTTAATTCTGAAATTTCATTACTTGGTGCTGTTTGTTGCACGACTTCTACAAGGTTGTGAAAATATTCACCACATTTGAGATTATCAATTCCATTAACAGTTGTTTCGATGATTTTTGGATCATTAATTCTTATTTTTTCTACATCCCATTCACCCATTGTTAGATTTTTTCGAATTATTTCGTCATCAAATGGAATGCAAAGTGTTGAAATTGTTGAAGGATCAAATTTTCTATTCAATCTTATAAGTGCAATGTCATTAGTGAATTTTTTACTGTCATACTTTGAATGTATTTTTATATCTTTTTCTGTAAAATTTATGAATTTTTCAATATTTGAAGCAGTGCCGACATGAACCTCTAATCTATAAAGTGATAAACTATTAATGTCAATTTGAAAAAAATTAGACTATTTGATTACTTTGCGTATGTGATCCCAGCTAAACAATGTGCTGCTGTCACTACAATATCATCTAGAAATATAATAAGAAAAAAAAAATATAAAAGAGACTGTACTGGAGCAAAATAATGAGAGAACGAATAAGAGCTTACTAATACAATGAATCAATGCCTTATTAATTTTATAACATAGTTATGGCTGATGATGTAATCGACGTTTTGTTCAATCTTCACATTAAATTTATTGAATTAACTCTTATACTAAAAATACAAAGCTTACCAAATATTAGTGTCCCAGCACAAATAGCTTTTGGTTCCTTATCATTATAAATTAATCTTGCGATAAATGATAATTTATCAATATTTCCATCTTTCTCTTTATCATATCCTTTACTGCATTTGCCTTTCATGTACATATCATAATTGTCGTGCATACTAAGAATTAAATGCGAGCCATCACCAAATGGACCAGAGCAATAATGAAATGATTGATGCACAAAATGAAGAATCAGAAAAATTAATAGAATTAACAAGAAGATCACAAACATCCATTTTCTGATTGTCCATCGATTTTCACGTTGGATACCCGGATTAAATAATTGAAAACACATTTTGATGACCTTTAAGCAGCTACGTGAAGAACACGACTGAAGATTTTCGAAAAATATTCATTCTTTAATGTTTTTTCTCTCTTTTATTTCAAGTTATTACGGTTATCACTTAAGATGCTTCAAAACAATATTGAGAGAATTTATAACTATTGATGAGAGACAACGATGATCAATAATATGGAAGTGAAGTAACTAAATGTTATCATTTGACACCGGACATTCCTTTGCTTATAAATGTGGGCGTGAAATAAAGTTTTAAATGATTATGTGAAGTCACATGATTCGTGAGTCATGATTATTAGTAACTGATCAATTTGAATAATTTCGCACTTGAATATCGTTTTAATAGGTTTTAATTTTTGGCAGCACAACTTGGATAGTGAGGGGTGGTCTAAGGGACTTCTTTCCGTCACAGAACAGTGTGACTGAAGTACGACGGCTCTGAAAATTTCTTATAATTCACAACTAAAATACCAAAAAAAAAAAAAAATACAAAGAACTTAAATGCACGAAAAATTCATTTGAAAAATATAGTGCAGATATTGAGGTAGGTTGTGGATATTTAAATTATTTTATTCAGGAATTTTTATAATTTTAAGTCTTACAAACTACTTACGTAACATTTATGTCAAGCTGTAAACAAACTTAAATTAAAACATGGAATTTGTGTTCAACATTTTTACGTATAACAATATTGTTATATCTCATTTTTATACTCTGAGTCATGTGCAGCATCTCAGTAACCTTCAAATACTTTTAACATCTTAACTTGCTGCATTGCACAATATCCAATGAATATAACTGTGGACTTTTGTAAAAACTGTTGGAAGTGAACTTGATTTATTCATTTTAATTCCATACGATACGATTCCATAGATAAGCAACTGTCCTTTGTCATTCTTTGCATAAATTGGCATTCCACTGTTTCCTTTTGCTAGAGCTGTTGATTAAAATTTACAGTCATAATGTCATTCACTAAAATTTTTCTTACTTTTATTTCCACCGCAGAATTGATTCATTCCATTAATTGGTTTATATTTCGAATGATTCTTTGCAGTTTTGGCTTCTGTTTGAATTTCGTTTGGTCTTTGAGAATTTACAAATTCGTAGTATTTTGAACTACAGTCATTACTTCCTTGAATTGTAGTTTCATTTAATTTGATGTCGTCAGAAGACATGCTTGAGTATTCACTCATTAATAAATTCATTGGCACATTAACATCATTGAATGGGAGGCATATAAGGTTGACTTTTGTAGCTAGTGCCATTGCATTATTGAATTTGATCAATGCAATGTCATTTGCATATGTTTCTGAATTATATTCTGGATGTAAAATTATACTGAATTTTGGTTTTCTAATCATGTCATTCAGGCGATTTCCTGTTCCCAAGTAAACTTCCATTCTAAAATTTGATTGAATGAATGTTAAAATTGTTGAAAATTTTGTAATTTACTGAAAAATAAATACATTTTGTTGGATGGATCGTCAAAACAATGCGCAGCAGTTAAAACAAGTTTGTCTAAAATCGATTCATAAATGAAAATATCCTGACAATAACATTGTTTCCATTCAAACTTACTGCTTATTAATGAGCCGCTACAAAAAATTTGTTTTTGTTCATTTTTAAAAACTAGATGTGCAATAAATGGAAAGTTGTGATCGCCATCGTCTAAATATCGTTCTATGTTCTGCTCGTTACACATTCCTTGATCAAATTCTTTATAATTTTCATGTTCTTTATTATTTTTGACAAATGTATCGCCAAAAAGTCCATCGCATTTTCTATTCGATTTATCAATTGACCACAATACGCCTAAAACTATTAAACTTAAAACTAAAACCACGCCAAGTATTTTAGAAGCAAGGACCCAACAGCTCCGTGGAATGGCCTTCCAATTAATGCAACTTTTGCACATTTTTTGTGACTTTATTTTAACACGTTTTCACATAGACTAAAATAATATTGAAGATTTTTTTTTGAGTAACTTAATTGATAATAAAGTTCAAACTGGTTTATATGCTAATTTTGAATTTTTCTCTTTTCTCAGTTTCGATCGAGAATTAGAGAGGAAAATTTACACAATTTATATTTTTTTTGAAACAAAACACTTGAATTTATAAATTTTATTTCGAACGTTGTTTTAATATTTACAAAATGACTGTTAATTTATAATTGTATAAATCATATAAAAATATACTTAAATGTAAAATATCAGAGTGCCTAGTCAAATTGAGGTATAAAGCAAAAATGCCGCCAAAATTAATTTTTTTAAAATAATTCTTAAAATTAGTTTCAGGTTATGAATAATTTCAAAAATCCCTAAATTCAGAACTGTCATGCTAAAGCTCTAATTTTTTTTTGTCATTCTTAAGCTTTACACAATATCCAATGTCGATACTCATAAATTTTTGTGAACACTGTTGGCATTTGATGATCATCTTTAGTTCCATATGACAATATCCCATAGATTGTGTAAGGTCTATTAGAAGAGCTTCGAAAACTTCCAGGCATTCCACTGTTACCTCTCTTTTGAGCTGTATAAAGCAAAGAGTTTGAACCAAAATATCAAGTTAGTCAAAAAACAAAAGGCATGTTCAAATAACACCTTAGCATAATATAACCATCAAAGTCTCATATTTCTTTGTTCAACTTACTTTTTTCACCAGCACAGAACTGTTTGGGTGTTATTGATTTATAATCGACTGTAATACTGTAATTTTTGCTTTCTTGTGGTAGATTGTTAGGATTTATCCTCTTCAATGCCTTTTGTTCTAGGAGATCATAATAACTTTGACTGCAATTAAATAAACTGACACCGTGGATGAATAATTCTTGAATTTTTGGATGATCAACCATATTTTTCTCATTCCAAACAGGTAATGTAAGATTTGTAGGAACTTGTTCATCTTGCAATGGCAGGCAAATTCTTTGAATTTTTTCAGTAAGGGCGATTTTGTGTTTCAATTTGACAAGAGCTATGTCATTGACCCAATCTTTTGCATTATATTTTGGATGTAGTATTTTCGTGAAATCTTCCTTAGCAATCACCACTTTATCTCTAAATTGATTTTCTGCTGTTCCACCTAGATGAATCTCACTGGAAAAATATACGAATTAGATTTTTTTTCTGATAGTCAATTCTATAGAATTCTATAAGTTCAATTTGCTTACATTATGATGTTATCATCAATTGTTAAACAATGTGCGGCAGTTAAGATAAGATATTCTAAAAAAAATAAAAAATTTTAGAATTGTTTGATAAGTTGTCAGTCGGCATTAATATCTCTATCTTGAAAGCGTATTTCTTACTTTAATTATTCAAATAGATAGCTTCAGACGGCTTCAGACGAGAAATAAAATGAATGAATTTAAAAATAGAACTTCTCGTCTGATTTTCGTGTTATTAAATATTTGTCTACAAGTTGTTTACTACTCGTATACTCAAGCTGACTCATACTTTTTAGTAGCTGTATATAATTTGTAAATAAATTGATGAAATTGATTGAGTAAAAATGTTCGACACACAATTTACTAATTGGATCATTTTTGTAGTAAATAAGAAGATTTTCAAAATTTTTTTTTTTTTTTTGTAATCAGCTCAACGAAAAGATACGATCAAAAATTGTTCGATTCTAATTATAGAGCAGAAAATCATCAAGATACTTCAAAAATTTACGCTACAAACAAAACAAAAAAAAAATCCACTCGACCAGACAGAAAATAATAATAAATAACATCGTATAACATTAAAACTGAATTTCACAATAAGTCATTTTAAGTTAAGGCTAGTTCCATCGCACTATGGGCCAGAAATGGAAAATTTTTCCAAAAATTATTTCTACAGCTTATATGATAGTCCTTATTCTGCCCTACATTTACGTTCTTAAAACTTTGCCCAAGTCGACAGCGTGTCCGAGATATGGCACTTCAAAGTTGGTCAGACGACCATTTTCACGTTACATTGAAAATGCTCTCACCAGTCACTGGATGGATGAATCTCCTTCAATTTTTTTTTGGTAATAGGCTATTAAATAGTTCCTTTATTTTAAGGTATAAACAATTGCAAAAAACTTTGGAAAATTTTGTGAAAAACTTGATTTTTCTCAAAAACCACGTGTTCGTCATACTTCCGTTTGTGTAGGTCTTCACAAGCACAACCAAAGTTACTAATTTCTTTTTTATATTAAAGATTACATCAAAAGCTATAACTTTTGCGTACATGTCGTATAATTTTAACAAAGTTTTGGTAGTGAAAAAAATTTTTTTTATAAAAAAAACACCAATTTTTTGACAAAAATCGCTGTAGTGCTCCAGGGATACCCATGGTAGTGGAATTTTATTTCACATTTAGAAAGCTCTCTGGATATGCTATCAATTAATGCAGTAAAATGAACAAGTGTTCTCTTGGCAAAGAGCACTTTTTTGACTCTGAAAGTCGTATGTCGAGCAAGGTCAAAAAAGAAAAATAATCATAAAAATTTCAGTTTTAAGTAAAATTTAATTTTTTTAAGTTAGATTGATAGATCTTTTTAAAACGCGTCTTTTGAGTATAAATATGTCATAGTTTTGTCAAGTTTCATGATCAGTTTTTTAAAAAAATAGTTTTTTTCAAAAAAAAACTTGAAAAATAAAGTATTTGACTTTAGAATTTCATAAAATGCATTCTTTTTAACATTTTTTTCACTATTTTGTCTAGTTTTGCTCCTCGTTTTTTCCTAAACATAAATCAATAAGAACTTAACATAATTGAAGCCATTTGGAGGTTAAATTGAGTTAAAAATCGTTTAAAATTTTTGTATTTCTTAAATAGTTCTTTACACAAGTATCTAAGATATAAAGTGTTGCATAGTTTTGAAAAGGTATTAAAATTTCCAATATGTTAACATGAAAATTTTAGGAAAATTTTCAAGTAATATAGTCAATTTGGGTAAAAAACGCATTTTATATATGCTAGTTTTTAATGTTTTTCGTTTTTCTCAGCAAAGACTTTATGAAAAACTCTCAAAGTTTGCACACTTATTTGTTATATAAATGTTAATGACTCGTATAAGTTTTGGAATTTTCTATTGAGTTTTTCATGAGTTCTCCAAATCTGAAATTTTCAATATTAAAAATCCTTTTTTCTCAATAATTCCGATTTTTTATTTATAAATAAATATCTTATTTTGTTTCATTTTTCAATATCTTTTCATTGATATGTAACAATCTACGAAAAAAATAAGACTAGCGAGAAATCAATAAAAAAAGTGTCAAAAATTTATGAAAATTCTACGCTATTTTAATTTTTTAGCATTTTCTGGTTAATTTTATTAAGTTTTGTAAGAGTGTTATACCTTTTTGCAAATTTATAGCTTAAGACTTTCATCTGCTTTCATCCATTAAAATTCGTATGAGTCAACGATAAGCACAACTGAAGTTAAATAAGCTTCACGTTGGCGCAACCAAAAATTTTGAATTTTTTAAAATCAAATTATTTAAAAGCTTTAAATTAAATCTTCAGGCTGCTATTAAATACATGAAACATTTATAACAAAACTAAATGAAAAAGTTTAATATTATAGCTCAAATAGCATTAAAATTAATATCTGGTTTTCTTCATTTGGAACTGTCTTTTGTCGCCAACGTGAAGCTTATTTAACTTCAGTTGTGCTTATCGTTGACTCATACGAATTTTAGTGGATGAAAGCAGATGAAAGTCTTAAGCTATAAATTTGCAAAAAGGTATAATACTCTTACAAAACTTAATAAAATTAACCAGAAAAGGATAAAAAATTAAAATAGCGTAGAATTTTCATAAATTTTTGACACTTTTTTTATTGATTTCTCGCTAGTCTTATTTTTTTCGTAGATTGTTACATATCAATGAAAAGATATTGAAAAATGAAACAAAATAAGATATTTATTTATAAATAAAAAATCGGAATTATTGAGAAAAAAGGATTTTTAATATTGAAAATTTCAGATTTGGAGAACTCATGAAAAACTCAATAGAAAATTCCAAAACTTATACGAGTCATTAACATTTATATAACAAATAAGTGTGCAAACTTTGAGAGTTTTTCATAAAGTCTTTGCTGAGAAAAACGAAAAACATTAAAAACTAGCATATATAAAATGCGTTTTTTACCCAAATTGACTATATTACTTGAAAATTTTCCTAAAATTTTCATGTTAACATATTGGAAATTTTAATACCTTTTCAAAACTATGCAACACTTTATATCTTAGATACTTGTGTAAAGAACTATTTAAGAAATACAAAAATTTTAAACGATTTTTAACTCAATTTAACCTCCAAATGGCTTCAATTATGTTAAGTTCTTATTGATTTATGTTTAGGAAAAAACGAGGAGCAAAACTAGACAAAATAGTGAAAAAAATGTTAAAAAGAATGCATTTTATGAAATTCTAAAGTCAAATACTTTATTTTTCAAGTTTTTTTTTGAAAAAAACTATTTTTTTAAAAAACTGATCATGAAACTTGACAAAACTATGACATATTTATACTCAAAAGACGCGTTTTAAAAAGATCTATCAATCTAACTTAAAAAAATTAAATTTTACTTAAAACTGAAATTTTTATGATTATTTTTCTTTTTTGACCTTGCTCGACATACGACTTTCAGAGTCAAAAAAGTGCTCTTTGCCAAGAGAACACTTGTTCATTTTACTGCATTAATTGATAGCATATCCAGAGAGCTTTCTAAATGTGAAATAAAATTCCACTACCATGGGTATCCCTGGAGCACTACAGCGATTTTTGTCAAAAAATTGGTGTTTTTTTTATAAAAAAAATTTTTTTCACTACCAAAACTTTGTTAAAATTATACGACATGTATGCAAAAGTTATAGCTTTTGATGTAATCTTTAATATAAAAAAGAAATTAGTAACTTTGGTTGTGCTTGTGAAGACCTACACAAACGGAAGTATGACGAACACGTGGTTTTTGAGAAAAATCAAGTTTTTCACAAAATTTTCCAAAGTTTTTTGCAATTGTTTATACCTTAAAATGAAGGAACTATTTAAAGCTATTACCAAAAAAAAATTGAAGGAGATTCATCCATCCAGTGACTGGTGAGAGCATTTTCAATGTAACGTGAAAATGGTCGTCTGACCAACTTTGAAGTGCCATATCTCGGACATGCTGTCGACTTAGGCAAAGTTTTAAGGACGTAAATGTAGGACAGAATAAGGACTATCATATAAGCTGTAGAAATAATTTTTGGAAAAATTTTCCATTTCTGGCCCATAGTGCATCGTATTTAAAAAGAATCCGGAAATTTGCAGTTTTATCTTAAAACTTACCGCTTATCAATGATCCAGAACAAAAAACAAATTTCTCTGTGTCATTTACAACAACAAATCTAGCAATGAATGGAAATTTGTGATCTTCTTCTCCATGATATTCCTCAATGCACTTCCCATTATAAAGTCTGTCATAATTTGGATGATCTCTTAAATCTAAATGCACTGTGTCACCGAAAGCACCCTCACACTCATAAAATGATTTCAGAATGAGACTTAAAATTAACATTAGAACTAAAGATATGACTAGCATTATTCCGAATACTTTTAATATTTCAACTCTGGTGGCTCTTTGAATAGCACCAAAGTTTATAAAAGTTGGCATTTTTTTGCACATTTTTGAATAAAAATCTACCCGAGCTTGTTTACTACAAAGCGATAAAAGAATTACTGAAGCGATACAATAAAAATTCTCGACTATATCAGCGTTCAGTAAAATCCTACATGTGTCGGCTAGCCGGCGAAGAAAAAAAAACATTTTATTTTCTCTCTCTCGAAAAAAAAAATATCTAAACGGAAAAAAACTCAATAATTTGGCCCATCTTTATAGCTTTCTGGTTTTACTGTGTGTTTTTTGGCATTTTCTTCTTTTTTAAGAGAAATACATCAATGAACGTAAAACTATTATGACGTTGATTTGAGGCCTATGACGTCAGTTTTTCATGAATTGAGATATTTGCCAGTTTTCTATACTTTTATTGATTTACTTCCACTGACATACATAGTTCTGGCATTAGCAAGATTGATGATGATAAGTGTGAATGCCAATCTAGTTGAATATTGCCAAGCAAATTTAAAAAAAAACATTGAAAAATTCTATATTTTGTTAAACTTTATTTTAAAAAAACTTTTATAAATTTTACATTCTCAAAATGAAATTAATTTACAGATATAAATTTGTTGATAGCTATTAAACATTATAGTATGTTAATGAATATTATCGAAGATCCAACGAAGATAGTTTCGAACATTTGTATAAATGCTTGGTAAGTCACATGACGAGTAATCGAATGATAGAATTCCATGCTGAGTCCAAATAGTAGTTGTTCCTATAATTGATAGTGATTGTAGTGGCATTCCATGTTCATCTGATAAAAATTATAAAAAATATTAGATTTTGTATAAAACACAGAAATTACAAAAGCTACCTTTACAATCGGAGTCAATAGCTGCAAAATAAAAAAAAATAAGTAAAAATTATTTTATTAAAAGTGTAAAGTTCCTACCGTCTTTAAAAATGCACAATTGATTTTCAGTGGAATGACGAATAACTTTATTCCTATTGTCTCCAAAATTATCACCATTTTTGCTCAATTCATTTATGATTTTAACACATTCTTTTGTATCAACTTGGGTAACTAATAGCCTTGAAAGCCTTTTAGAATTCATTGATTTTTTTCCAATAGCTATCAGCCCGTGCAGATCTTTCTCTTCTTTTTCTAATGGCAAGCATACAGGCGTAATTTTATAATCTTCAAAATTTAAAGCCTCATGTAATTTAATCAGCGCAATATCATTTTGAAGACTAGCTGGATCGAAATCTGAATGTGGAATAATTTTGAAGTCTTTAATGTCCAAGTGCTCAACTTCTTTATTTTGTGAATGTCTGTTGAATTTCAATCGTATCACTGACCTACAGTAATTATGCAAATTAAATTTATTTTTTCTCAATATGATTAGATTCTTCAGGGAATTCCGAGTCTTCTTTTTATTTATGTTTGTAGAAAATTCAAAACAAAAAATATAAATTTTGAAAAATCCACATGGAAATCCCACAAAAAATGATGCATTAAATAAATTAGATTCTACACCCATATCAATAAATTTAAAATCTTACAATTCAAATTCTGATTCTTTCGGCATCACACACTGTGCTGTAGTAAGAATGAATTTCTCATTGTTCAATGAACCTCCGCATGTGAATTTTAAATGAGAATGATGATTAATATGACCCAAAGACACAATCCATGGAAACTCAGAATGATGTGTTAGATGCTCGACATTATGACTTGGCCGAGTCACAATTCCACATTTTTTGTTTTTGAAGTATTTGAAGTTTTCATGAATTTCAAAGTCTTTTGTTCCATCAGGTAGTATATTATCTTGTAGACAGCATGTCAAGTGACTTAAACCACAGTCATCACCAATGAAGAGTCCAGTGAATTTTTCTCGAACAAAGCAGTTGGAACTTTTGACACAAACTCCTGATGTTCCATTTTCGAATCTGCATTTTACATTTGTCTCAATTTCTGGATGAGAAGTAATAAGATAAATTGACACTATAAGACCAGCTAATAGAGTGACTATTAGTGATGAGTATCCAATATCTGTGTATGATTTGCAAAGCATTTTGTTTTCTTTCCAGCCGGTGTCACAGCTCACAATAAACTAAAGTTTGATTTTCAATAATTTGCAGTAAAATAAGCAAATAAATATTGGAATTGTTTTCTTCTTGCGAGTTGAGTATCAAGTTTTTGGCTTATGCCACATGATGTGGTGTACAATTTTACAAACATATTTGTGTTTGCGTTTTACTACTCGTGTGATGAAAAAGAAAAGAAGATCGTCATTGTTAATGTGCGTATGTATTCGACGTAGAGTAATTTTACGATCAATTTATTGTTCATAAAACTGTTTTTTGTGACGTGCCAAAAATCTACGTCATGCATTAAGGAGTAACTTAATTTGAGACCACTAAGTTTAAGTCAATTTGTAGAATTTGGAACTTCATTCGGAGTCAATTACTTATTACATATAAAATATACTTGGCTCAACTTTTTCATTATTATTGGCAATGCCGAATCCTCGATAGCCACATTCTACCTATGATCTACAATAAAGCTATGAAATGTTTGAATCACAACAGTCACGAAATCAACATCATGAGGCTGCTTAATTTATTAATTACACATAATCAATCAATAACAATTTAAATAGCACCTATTAAAATTTATGAGTCAACATTATCTAGAATCCAACTAAGGTAGCTGTTAATTTTTGTGTAAATTTGTGGAAGCTCGCAAAACTGTGATTTATCTGATAAAATTCCATATTGGACAATGCGGTTCTGTCCTTTAATTATGCTCGATGCTTGAAGTGGTGATCCTAGTTGATCTGTAATAATGAGTTATTTTAAACAAATTAAAATTTTTGATTCTAATTAAAACCTACCACTGCAATTAGTGCTGACGCCTGCTAATGAAAGAAAAAATAAAAATTATTATGCAGGCGTTGCATCAACAATCAATAAAATTATTACCTCTTGTTTGCGCACAAAATTGATTGTCTTCATACAATGGCATTAAATTTACTTTCGACGAATTATTCACTCTATTAAAATTTTTAAGACTTGTATAACATTCAGGTAGGCTAATGAAATGTGACAGTAAATTTGAATCGACTGCATTCATAATATTTGGAACTTTTTCAATGCCAAATGGCAGGCAGATTGTGGATAACTGATGATTTTGATGATTTATAGGTTGGACTAGCTTGATTAGTGCAATATCGTTTGTTAAATTATCTGGATCAAATTCTGGATGTGGAATAATTTTGAAGCTGCTGATGTTCTCGCAGTTATTGTTTTCACAGCCTTTATAATGCCTCAGTCTAACCAACGACCTACGAATATTGAAAAATTAAAAATTTTGGGTAAATTCCAGCACCTCAATGATTTTGGAAATTTTGCAAAAAATATTCGGAATTCCCATATTTATAAAAACTGCATAAAAAACCGCCAAAATACATTGACTCACAGATTAAAACCTGATTCCATCGACAAAACACATTTCGCTGTTGTGAGAACAAAAAATTCATTGATCAACGATCCGCTACACGTAAAATTCACTTCTCCGCTTTCAGTTTTAATTCCAAGGTCAACAAGATAACTGAAAACGCCATCTGTGTTGTTATTGATGCTCACTTGATAATTATTCAGTAGTCCGCAACGAGATGTACTCAAAAACTTGAAATTTTTATGATTTTTAAATTTCTTCTCACTTTCAGGAATGACGTCATCAAATGAACAGCATATAAAGCTGTCAGAATTGCCACATTTATCGTCATTGAAGTTATTATTATCAGCTATACAGTCAGATGAATTTACACAAACACCAAAAGAATTTTTATTTAATTTACACTGCGGCCTCTTCAATGAACTCGGTTGTATGAAAATTAGAACTAGAAGAATTCCAAGAACTACAAATAGAATTGAAGCTATTATTCCAAAAACTAAATTTCGGTCGTATTTAAAACACATTTTATATTTCTTTAAATTTGATCTTTTCAGCAACACAGTCGACAAATGAATAGACAAACGTGTCATTAAAAATAAAATTGGGAGAGAATTGAGAAAAAAAAATAGTCATACTAATAATGAATAATATTGGATATACTATTATTTGTTAAGTCAAATTGTCGAGTATGATTAAAATAAGCAAATGCGATTAAGCCTTACAAAAATTTAAATGAAGCATTTAATCACTAATTTTGTACATATTTATGTAGTCATTACTAGGATGACCGGAAAGCATAGTTAAGCATAGGATTTTTGATAGGATATTTATTCAATTTATTAGAGTTGTCAAATACACTGTAAAGTGGAAAATACACTGTATTTCCAAAAAACCAATAAAAATTTCTCTATTCGACTATTAAAAGCTTCAATCTCAAGGGGTGGTGCCCAGGCACTTAAGGAACCCCATCACTCTGCATTGGGCTACGCGCCTGACTAAATAGAATTATAACACTGACAGCAAAACGTGTAGGCATAATATAACACGATATAACATTACGAAACTGATAAAGCTACTTTCTTTTCACAATTATTTGCAATCAAAGTCTAACTTTTAAATTAAATGAACAGATTAAATGAGCATTCATGGATTGAAATTTGTAGATTTCTCGGACCAATGGATATATTGAACCTGTTGCTGTCACTAAATTTGTAAGTATTTTTACTATTTCAATTTTAACCTTATTCTCTAAAATTGTAATTTTTCACCAGTTTTAAAGCTATTTTCTCGAGTTCTGCAACGTTGATACGAAAATTTACATTATTTTTGGACGAAAGAAATTTCCATGAAGTTTTCAAAAACCAAAGTCTATTGTCTATAAAGTTCAAAAATCTTTCCATAAACTGTGCTGCAATCGATCCAAAAAACGTGTCAATTATACTTAGAACTTATAAAAATTCTATTGACAACCTATCTTTGAGCAATGTTCAAAGTTATGAAATAATTTCAAATTGTTTTTATAACTTCTGCTACTTAAAGTCACTAAGTCTTGAAAATTGCATGGTATGTGTTGACAAAGTTAATCCTTTACTTTTAATAAAACCTTTAAAATCAATTTTATTTCACAATTGCGATGAAAATGTCATTAAAAGTTTTGAAAATCAAGTAAATATCGAAAAAGTTACAATTTGTAGCTATAAATATACTTACAATGGGTTTCCACACGATGAATTTAATAATCTGCTTGAAAAGTTGACAAATTTAAGTCATTTGGTACTCGATGGGGATGGAACGTCCAGTTACTTTGATGTTAACAGGTTTCCTTTCAAAGTTAAAATTTTGGAAACAACTTCGATTACTTTTAATTTTTATGTTGGATTAATAAACTCAAGGATTGACTTTTTAAAAAGTCAATTAGGATTCTTGAAGGAGTTGACAATCCATAAGCTCCCATTCGACTTTGACGGCAACGAATTCTTGAAATTTATAATTGAAGAGATGCAACTTACAAAATTTTACTACGGGAAAATTCCATTGATTTTAAAAGGAACAAAGCAGGAAATTAAGGAATTTTCAGCAACAGAAACGCAAGTTAAAAGTGCATTTGAAATGTTCAGACAATTTGGATCGATCAGAAAATTCTCGCTAATCCTTAGCAATATTGACATCTGCAGTGATGAAATTGAGAATGTCATAAATCCAGACACAGAACTTTTTAACAATCTTGAGGAATTCAAACTAATTGACAAAAGTGAATTAAGAGGACTTTTTGGAGTTTTTCTAGGACTTTATCAGAAACTTATTAACATCAAGAAACTTACATTTGATACACAAGACAAAAACATTGAGGTCATCCTCGAAGAAAGTCTTCCTTACATGAGAAATTTGAAAGAAATTTGCTTGACATCAAACATCCCAAATGCAAAATCCAGATTTGAAATAATCAAGAAATTGGTTGGAAGTTTGAAAAAACTGATTGTTCCTAAAGATTTAATACCGATAGCTCAACAAGTTTTTGAGGATCAAATTGAAATTCTAGAAATTTGTTATTGAAAATTTTATTGAAATAAATTAAAATTTTCCATTTGAGTTGTAATTTTATGCTTATTAAATTCATCATCTCATGTAACCTTAAACTTCATCCTCCTACATGATACCACTCAAAATTTGAAAATTATAAACAATTTTGCAATAAAGTTCTTCACCAAAAATACAACATTGGTCAACTTGTATGGTTTCAATATGAACAGACTCGTCCAGAAATAACAAAAATATCTTTCAAAAAAGCTCTCACAACAAAACTTTCTAATGAAATCCTATCCATAAACATCATGCATCCTTTCATCTCTGACTTTTTATTCATTTTCATTCCTCTCAGAAAAAAAATTACCATCATAAAGTTTTGTGTGCTGAACATTTCTGGTCTTGTGCATTTCATAAACAATTTTACAGTAACTTTGGAAATTTTATTTTACTTGCAATCTCGTCTTTTTTTGGATATCTGTGAACGAGGATGTTTATGTCTGTTCTTAACAATATTTTTTTTGCTCAACTCACACACAAAAAAGAAATTTGTTGTAGACCTAAACAACTTGGAATAGCTCTCAAATGCATCCTGAGCAATAATGTGATAATTTTATTGCTATCCATTATATGAAGATTATACTTCCGACAATTTATGTTTACATTTTCCTGGGTTGTGTACAAATATAAATATACACACAATTTTTGTTCACTTAACTCGATTCTATCTTTAGGTTGTTGTGCTTTTTTTCTGTGATATGGGCTCTGTTTAAAACCAAAGGTTTTGTGGTTTGTAATTTTGGATGCATAATGCGGATCCTTGTCAGATTAAGATATTAACTTAAGTAGGAATCGAACTTACGTCTTTACAGAATTTTTAACCAACTTATTGAAATTTTTTGAGGTTTCTTTTTCTAGCAATAGCAGATTTACCTTCACATAACTCGACAACTTAAACTTCATTCTACTTCAACATTCAGAGGTCACTTTTCTGAGCCAATCATGCCTGAACCTCATTGAACTTTCCTTTTTGACAATAAAAAATATTATAAAATCAAGTGCGTCACTAAAGCCATCCACAAATTGACACGTTCTCACTTACTTCTGCAATATAACTTCCATTTCACTTTCATGTTATAATGTTAATAGTAGAATAACATAAATAAACAACATTTTTATTCGAATATATTCGTACATATTCGTATAATATAAGTATAGGATAATATAAAGATGAATAAAAAAATATAAGGAAGCTGCTCTGGCATATATGAAAATTTTTATTTCATAAATTCTCATTCTCATCCTGTAGGATTGCTAAATAGAATCGTATTTTATTCGAAAATGTACTAGATGTTGTTGAGCAATTTATGCATATTGCTGTAGTTATTTGAGCAACATACAAAACATTTTATACATAAATGTTGTTTTTTTTTTTTATTCTTGTAGATTGTATACATAATTCGGTCAAATTCATCGTAATCCTTTGGCATTTGAAAACAAAATTGCATTTTTCTTCTTATTTGATTTTTTTACTGTATCCTTTTTAGAATGCATGAACGACTTTCTTGATGGAATAAAAAGAATAGCAAATTTTTGGAAGAGAATATTTGCGAGATTGAATTTCACTCTAAATTATGACAATTGCAATATGCTTTTCGGTATTTTGTTGGTGGATGTATTGTTACATTTTGAGCATATTATGTAAAAGCTTGTGCTTTTTAAGATACATTCAAAATATTAAATCTTGAGGCTCTGTAAACTTCTAAACTCCTCAATTTCCCTAAATTCTGAGTTCACTTACCTCCAATCTTTTAGAATGCTCCAAAAAATTCAATCCAATTCAATCTTTAATCCACTACCTCCATTTGTCACTATTAATTATGTCTTTATCATTTAATGCAACAACATTAATTCAATCATGTCAAATGATTTTTCAATAAATGAATCGAACGAAGACGACGAACATAAAATTGGATGTGATTTTTTTACATTTCTCATGATACACATCAAACTAGTTCTATTCAACCAACAATTGTGTGACTAATGGTGATACAATCTACAATATTATTTCACTTATATTCAATGAACTTGTATTAAAAAACTTTTTTTTTTGCTAGACTGTATGCTGCTTTGAAGTGAAGGTTTTGGGTTGTTGATGGAGATTTTGGGGAGTTTTGATGTTGATTTTTCTTTAAGACTGACTACAGTGAATCTAAAGATTCTGAACCATTAAAATGGCACAACGGTTGTCTACTGTGAACCAATTCTTTTGAATCGACTCCAATTGAACATTAGAGATCAAATCGTACTTCTGAGCCACTTCAATCTTCCTTTAAAAAACACGCTTTACACCAGAAACCCCAAACGTCCACCAAACTTTCTCAACATTCATTCCATTCTAGAAGCAAAAAAAAAGTATTTCATTATGTAATGGAAAGTAAAATAAATATTGAATTTTTTTCCATCGCTCTTCTCTTTTATTCTATTTATGTTCTGTTCCAAACAGAAAGAAAATCGTAAATTGAATTGCATTGGACTTTCAAAAACGACGGAGTATAAAAAGAGCACAAAGAAAGAGAGAAAAAAAAATCTTTTCTGTTGCCATTTCCTGTTTCATGTACATTAAGTCGAAAAGAAAGGAAAGACTGAATTGACTGGATTGAATGTTTATTTTAAAGCAGCAGCACTTTTAGTGCTCTTTGACTTCAATTGTATCATTGCAGACGATAAATCTTGTTTCGATTTTTATTTTTCTCAAATTTATAAAAAAAGGAGGAAAAGTTTTGTTTAAAGCTATGGCATTGGATGATTTTAAACTACATTTAGAGTTTTTGGAATGGAAAATGAGATTTTTTTAAGAGGAAATTGGTTTCAGTTGTTGAGGTGTGGAGATTGCTGTGCTGTTTTTGACATGATGACGGTTAAGATATTAATTATTGGATATTAAAGTGAGGATTATAGGTTTTTAAAATCTGATTTGTCAAGTCCTAGCCTCCGACCATTGATAGCCTTTAAACCAAAACTGATTCATTATTGCTGAAAAATCTTTAAATTTGATATTTTTTCTTTTCAAACCATGCCACACTTAAAAATCACAACTTTTAAAAAATTCAAAAATTTAAAGCTCAAAACTTCATTAAAATTAACAAAATTAAATCTCACCCAAATTTTTCACATTCATCATTCATTTTGACATTCCAAAAATAGCAATGTGTGCAATTATTAAAAAATAAATTGAATGTAGCATAAATTTTCAGACTCATATGTGCCACCAGAAAAAGCAATTATACCGAATTTATGTCAATAATTCCCACATAATTTCAAACTTTTCAAATGAAAATAAATCAAAAACTCTTTATGTAGCTTGTTATAACTTTTTGAGCTCATAAAATTCTCATAAACACAAAAAAACAGATGAAAAAGCATTGACAGCTTCAAATTTCAATTTTCTCATCAGGCTGTTGTTTTTTTTTGTTCCTTGTCAAGTACATAATCTACTTAGCAAAAACTTTTTCATCATCAACGATGGAAAAATATTTTTCCATTTATTTTGCGTTGTTGCGAATATTTTTTTTTTATTTCATCTCTTTCAAGTTCCTTACATTCACACAGATGTTTGAAGAAATTTGATAACTAAAAGTGAATCTTTGATTTATCACAGAGGAATAAGGTGGTGTGGGATGAAGAAAAGAAGAGCAAAATATCATTTAATGAATTCTTTCGAAATTGAGAATTTTTCCTTTTCACGGCTCATGAATGAGCTTTTTTTCAAATAAAATAATATAAATGGAGGAGGATGAAGTAAGGAAGAACTCCTTATTTGAGGAACAGTGAATTTTTGGAAACTTTAAGTTAAGTGCATATGCCAGGGAAAAGCAAACCTCAGATGCTGTTTCGGATGCTGCACTTTTCCAAACAACTTCCTTCTGCCTCTCTTAAACATCCTTCATACAGATCAATTGACCTCATTTTTTTCCAACTTCCAATCTTGATCCACATCGTAAATCCAAAAAGAATTCTTTACGTTCAATTACTAAATTCACAAGAAATAAAGCAGCACGAGGGATAAAAAAATGGCATTGAAAAGAAGAAGCTCGAAAAGCCAGAAGAAATTCATTTACAAGCATTTCTCATCAAATTTATCGGAATCGGAAAATCTTTTTCGTATTTCACATTTTTCAAATTTTTTTTTCTGTGCTGCTCCACACTCTTCATGGAACATAATTTTTTATACTCCAGCAAATGTGAATCCACACAGTACATCTATAGTAATTTCGCTTCGAGATTTGTTTTTTGCCATCGCTTTTTTCCTCTCTGTAGCTGTTCGTAAACATAGCAAAAAAAAAATTATTTCCGTTCATGATGAAAAATTCATCATAACATCTCATCTATCTATCTATATCTATATTTTCATGCTCGTCGTATATCAGAATCATCCATCAGCATGTAATGCAGTTTTACTGTAGAATTGAGATTTTTTTTTGTTGAGGTAGTGTTGGGGTACTTGTAAGGCGTTTTGTCTGTTTTAGGATATTTGGGAGAGTGATTTATTAATCAGTGAAAGTGTCGTGACAAGAACATAGTCAGGCACTATTCAAAAGAGTATGTTTGAAACTCTTTGTATCCTTATTATGGATTATAGCTCAAATAGAACACAAATATAAGTAACAGAAACTCGAAATTTATTTTTTTACACCTCAAACTCAGTAGATGCTTTCCAAAACTTCAATTCTTACTTGCATCACTCCCATATCTTTCTCCACACTGCACAACACCGAATTTTTCAATAAATAAACAGAAATAAACGAAATAAGTGATTAATAGAAGCAGGAAATAAGGAATGAGTGGGCGAATCGCTTTTTTAAAAGCAATGGAATTGAAAAAAAAATTTAATTAACGTAAAAACATTTTTTTTCAACTCCAAATCGAAGCCAATTGATGCTTTTTGTGCTGCGAGTTTTTTTTTCTCGTTTCCTAGAAACTCAATTAGCAAAATGCCTTTCCGTTCATCCCTTTGTTGAACTTTCTAAAAATAGAGGAAAAAAAATTGTTTTTAAAAAATTGTGAAGCAACGAGTGAGAAAAATAATCTGCAAGTGATCTGTAAACAGCAACGATATGAGATGATTGTTTGAGCTCAGTACTCCTTATTTGTACAGCTAAATGCTTCCTTCTTTCTCTATTTTTAAATCATTTTTTTCAGTTCTGTTTATCCGCCTTCATCTCTTTCTTCTTTCTCAGTCAATCTTTTGCAATGTTTTTCATCCTTGTGATGCTTTTATTTAATATTTTGAAGAGATGATCAGGCTGAAATGCTATGGGATGCTCGATTTCAGTTTCTTTTAGCTAATTGGATGTTTTTTTACTTAAGGGTCCCTTCCATATTTGAGATAGTTGGTTGTAGTCATGGGTAGAGCTAGAAATCGACTAAGTTGGAGTTTATTTCGGGTCGATTAAAATTGATTTCAAGCTCTGATTAGAGAAATTGACCGAACTGTATCTCAACTGAATTAAAGGCGGTCGTGACTACGGCTCATAATGGATATTATATTAAAAAACTATAAGGCTCAAAAACGTCCTCAGCTCCTTCAAATAATTCAATCCTGCAAACAAAACCAAAACATTTTACATCTTTTTCACAAAAAATTATAGGGGGCTTTCAATGTTTGATGATGACTGCTGAGTATGATGGAACGAATTAAGAAGTATTTTTCTCCCTTTTTCATTTTCTTTTCAAACGATGAAATTGAAAAGCGACAAAGTTCATAAGTTGAACTCAGAAAATGCTGATTAAAACAACATTTTCATAACTTCAGAGTCTTTTCATACAAACAAGATTTTTTTTTCATCTTTATTTGCATAGCTGAGCATGAGAAAAAAAATATTAGAATGAGGAAGAGGAAGCAGTAGAAATGTCAATATCAATTATATGGAATCTTCTGAGGCTGATAAATATTAACCAGGAGCGTAGCTAGTATTTTGAATATAGGGGAGCTTGAATTTGGATTAATTCTCGTCGACCCAAATTTTAAGGGGACTAGGTTTATGTTTTTACATTTATTAACCCTAGTTCCGAGACTGTTAAGAGCATTTGTTGAGTTGATTTGATGTGTGATGATGAAAGTGTTTTGAATTTGTTCTTGGAAGTTGATGATATAGAAATATATGGGAGAATTGAATTGATTCAGAAGAAGAGAAATAGAGCAGTTTACATTTTAAATTCTAAACAAAGCTATAATGAAATTTTATATATTCTTGCTGTTACTATGCATGTAATTCCTAGTAACTCAAACATATAAGCGAATTTTTGAAAATTGGCAAATAAAATTGAATTTTCCTCACCACAAAAATTTGAAAAGCTTCCATATTCTCAACTCATTCATAAAAGCCATAAAACATCAAACAATTAGAAAATGCGCTTATTTTAATAATGTAAAACAAAACCACATCAAATGAACAAAATCACTGCAGATCCGCAGGACATCAAATTGTCGACAGGATTAATATTATTTTTCATAAAGTCCATTCGAATTGTGAATGGAATTTTCACAGTAGTTTTACTGCGAATTTTTGTATAAATTTAATTTTGAATATATTTTCATTGATTTTGCGGGACTTCTTTTGATGCTGCTGGTTTTATGTTAGGACTGATTTCTGGGAAATATATTTATTCTGAATGATTTTACAAAACCAGTCTGTTGTGATGTTGGTATTCTATAAAGCCCTCAATATTTGCTATCAGTTATGTCACTCGACTTCAAATTTGTTCAACGTTCCAAAATAATTCCTTCTCGGAATAAAATTTGCCTTAGATCCGAACAAAAGAATTCTCATTCGCATCCTAAAACTGACCCATTTTTGAAAGCAAATGAAAACTGCAAGCAGCCTCCAATAGTAATGTCATATTGCAGTAATATTATATTAAGCCACATAAAGAGCTTTGAAATTAACACAAACATATGCACACATGCAGCACACATAAAAGAAAATATTCATTTTTCAATTTTCCATAAATTAGCTCCATGCATTATTCTATCAGCAAAAAATTATCGAGTTCTACGAACTAGAAAGCCTCAGAAATGAAATATAATTCTTGCGAGGACTATGGCAGTCGGCAGCATAGAACAAAAATATGAAGCACACAAAAATTGCAGAACAGAGTGAGAAATGAAAATTTATAATCTAGTTGTAGCTTATTGATGAGATTTTTCGCGGAATATTGTGCATGCATGTACTTTTGTGTGCATGTGTATGTGGGATATTTCTATATTCATACATGCCAGCAAAGCTATGCCATTTATGTACGAAATTATTTTCATGAATATAAAAATAATGCAGCATAATATAAAAATTTAATATTTATGAACATCGAAATGTGTGAGCAGGAGCGTATGCTATTTGTGGTATATCCTCAATTCCTTTCGTTGGTGGCGCTATAAAAATATTTTTATTATTTTCTATATTTTATATTTTTGTGTGTGCCATTGTGGGTGTGTTTTATTAAAGCCTTAAATATCTAATTTACTCATACATATTTTCTATGCTGGTTAGATTAGTTCCGGAAATTATGGTTTTCTTAATTTTGAAAAATTATTTTTTTTTGCCCTTCCGTTTTGGATTTTGCATTGTTAGATATTTTTTTAATTAAAAATAGGATGAAAAATCGACATCAAATATTTTATTCTATGTCTATGCTTAGCAATGAATAAAAAAAATAATTTCTCACGCTGCGAGCCAACGGAATATATATTTTTATTTGCAATCTATTTTCTATTTCAATATATATCTAGAATAGATTATTTAGAATATAAAAGTATTTTCAGCTTTTAGTTTTATAAACAACATATCAAATTCCCACTCATCTCTGTCCCAATGGTTTGAAAGATTTTTCAAGCAACAACTATTTTAATGATGTTTTGTTTTTATGAAGCGTCGTTTGTTGCTTAGAAAGATTTTATCAAATGTTCTATTAAGAACCACATATAAGAATTATAGACAGTCAGGCAGATAAAGAGCTGACAAAACCCTCGTTCCTTTTGAAAATGCGTTTATAAAAACAACATGAAAGATTGAAAGAATCCCAAGCACTCTATCAATAAATCTCAACAAACGCAAAAAAAATGCGATACACACAAAAAAAAGTGTGAACATTTTCATTTGAAAAAAAAAAAGTTTTCACTTCCTCATTCATCGTACACGTAAAGGAAAATGAAAAGGGCAATGAAATTCCTGTGTGTAGAATGATGAAAAAAAAATCAACGAACTTTACTCTTTGAATTTTTGTGTGTGCTTCCATTTCCTCTTTTTGTGTGTTGGACTTTTAAATTTTTTTTTCATTTTCCTACATTCCAGCATTGTCATTGCTTGTGACTATTGCAGCCTAAAATAAATATCCGGTATGTGTTATATTTACATTCTAGTAGATACACAAAAGTGGGAATAAATCTGTGTATTTTTTGCTGAGAACTAGAATGAAAATTTTATCGTAAAAATAAAAATAAAGGATGGGTCGGTGGATGGGAATCGGAGGAATCAGCTAGGTTTGAATGAAAAAGATAGCTTGAGTTCAGGTCTACATGACCTCTTTACCCTCTAGCTAGATAGAAGCTCTGGCTAAATACCACACAATGCATATCAACTGTTAAACATACTTCCTTAGGGCCCCATGATGGCATCACTTCTACACAAACAACACACTTTCCATCCATTGACCCAAAATATCTAAATCTCCTGTTTTTTAAAACAAAAGAGCTTTTTTCATTTCATTTACAATGACTCAACACACCCACGAAAAAAAAGTAAAAATACTTCCTGACTAGATATAAACAACAAAATAGAAAAAAAAAATAAAAATACAGGAAAAGTGGCAGCAGAAAGCAGCACAAATCAATTTATTTCAATCAATTTGTCAAGCACTTGCCTTTCCATTTTTCGACATTCAATGTGTGTGCTGCTTCGTGTTTTCATGCTTGTGCTTTTATTTTTTATATTGAACATTGATGTCCTATTTTTTTAAACATATATGTATCGTCGATGTGTTCATTTGTGTACCTTTATAATCAATTTTCTCGAGTCCCTGTCACAATATACAGCACTATAATTCCTTTGATAAAATTGAACAGGACGAACATGAGTGTGAAGATTTGTTTGTTTTATGTCAATATTGATTGAATTTTTTTTTTTCGGTTTAGGTCTTGTGGGTGGTGAAAGACATCTTATGAGATTGATGCTTTATTCTTCGTTTTCACTGTTTTGCTATGGGATTATTTTCGAGTGGATTTGGTGATAGTTGATGATTTTAAGGGAATATATTGTTGAAATAGTGTCAATCAATCCTCAAATATAGCTTAAGCGTAGAGAAAGTTTCGTTCCTAATGAATACCTATTTTATTGCACTTCCTTCATCTCCGTCAATTTACAAAAATCTTTAATCCTAGTTTTCATATCCGAAAACTTAAGTGAGCAGTCACTATTTGCACAAAAGTTACTGTCAACACAATCATTTCCTTTGAGATACACAACCTTCAACTTATCCAAATCATCAAACATAGTCGCACTTAGAATTTTTAAATCATTTCCATCAAGCCAAATAGTTTCAAGCTTCTTATTTTTACCGAAGGAATCGCCATCAAGTTCTTGTAATTTATTGTCTGAGAGCGAAATTTCTTGCAATTCTGGCATATTTTTGAATATTCCTTTTGGTAAAAAGTTGATTTGGTTTTTGTCAAGGTCGAGATGCATCAAACTTGCGAGATTCTTAAATAATTCTTCATCAATATAATTTAATTGATTTGATCGTAGAGTTAAATTTTTCAATTTAGTTAGGTCTTTCAATGTTAAGTACTGCAACTCTTCAAGTTTTTCAAAATTTTGATATTTTATTTCTTTTAATGCTAGATTAGATCCATCATATGCAACCAGATTTGGAAATTTTTCATGTATTTTTGTAGGCAAGTATTCTATATTTTTGTTAAGTTCAAAATAAAATCCTTTAACAAATTTACTTTCTTTAGCTAGAACTTCTGTGTTTTTCATTGATATCACTTCATCTGATTTTATTGTAAATGTCGTGAGATCAATATCAAGTTCGTACCATTTTCTCTCTTTGTTATATCCATTGATGGATTTTTCAGATGTGATGCTGGTAATTTGTGATGTTATTAGTACGAAAGCAGTGATTTGAGCTATTCTAAAATATATAATTGTAAGTTTCATTTGTAATTACCAAGTTAGAATCTATATTTATTCAACTCACGATTTCATTGTTCAATTTGTTCTTAATTCATCGACTAGTTATAATGTTGTCTCCAATGATCTTCACTAACAACTGAGCAAATATTGTAAATTTATAAGATTTTGTTTAAATCGTGAGTTTAAACTTGTTCTTGAACATTTAAAATAAGCAAACTGTGTATGCTACTTAGTTCACTTTGTTCTTTTGAGAGCTTACTATTGAATAACTTAAGAATTAAAAAATTTCGTCAAAATCAAAACTTTATTTCCATTTTTAACTTTCACAATTCTTCTTTATTATTTCCTTTAATCCTAAAACTTTCAAAGCACAAAATTCATCTTCATTGACCTCAAAAAGTCTATCAATACAAGAGTTGCCCGTAAAGTTAGCAACAACAAGGTTTTTAAGATGATCAAACATTGTTGGACTTAAAATATGAATTTTGTTATTTTGTAGCCAAATTCTTTCAAGCTTCTTGTTGTTTTTAAAATGTTCATCTCCAAGTGACTGAAGAGTATTATCTGACATGGATATATTTCGTAGTTCCTTTAAATTTTCAAAAGTTGTCGGTGAAATGTAAGAAATTTCATTACTTCCAATATTTAGGAATTTCAAGTTGATATGATTTTGAAAAGACAACTCGTGAATAGTTTGAATATTATTCATTCTCAGTTCCAAATGTTTCAGATTTGATAAATCCTTGAAAGTATCTTTTGGAATGTTTGATATCTCATTGGATGCCAATGACACTAGTTGAAGTTCAGCAAGATTTTGAAAATTCTCATATTTTACCTCTTGAACAGCACAATTGAAAGCTTGAAACACATTCAAATTTGGCAATTTTTTGTAAACTTTAATCGGCAAAAATTCGATTTTTTTGTTATTTCTAAAATTTATAGCTTTAATAAATTCACTTTGTTTTGCTGAAATTTCAACATTTTTTGATGAAATTTCAACATTTCCGTTGATCCACCACGTCCAAACTTTAATATCTAATGGGTACCAGTAAGTATCATCAAAATCTCCATCAATTTTGGTTCCACAAAAAATCATTCTCAATGATGAAGTAATTAAAATAAGGACAAAAAATATTGATGATCTGCCAAATTAAATTAAAAGTTAAGTTTATTGAATTAAACAGCTTTTTCTTAACTTACCTTTGCATTTTGATGCTCAACATCTGACTATCAGTTCTTTGTCTTTGAAATGCTTGAAATAAATTAAGCAGATGAAGAACAAGAGAGCTAGTCTCATAAATTGAGATGATGATAAGAGATTTGAATAAATTATCAAGTTCAAAATTTACATTTTTGAGAGTCGCTGATCATCAGACATTTGGATATATTTAGCACCAAAGTAAATATTTTTTTCAGAGTTGTCTAAGCCACGATTGATATTTTATCTGTAGAACCAAAATTTATTGATCAATTCAAGTTTCTATTCGGTCAACATTTTGTAGTGCAATCAAAAATTATTATAAAATTTTTAATTTATAATTTACATAAACTTCTTATTATATTCTTTAATTCTGTAAAACTAGTATCATGATAGTATCCATTAATACATGAATTATTCTGAACATCAACATAATTTAAACTTAGCATTTTGTCGAAAATCATTGAACTCAAATTCTTAATTTGATTAATTTTCAAAAACATTGTTGTGAGTTTTTGATTATTACTGAAAATATTGTTATCCAAAGTCAAGAGAGAATTGCTTGAATAGATTTTATCAAGTTCTGTTAATTTTTCGAATGCATTTTTTGGGATTGAAGAGATTTTGTTGTTGTCTAAATCAAGTTTTCATAAATTTCCCAAATCTTTAAAAACTTGATCATCAATCGACCAATGTCCATTAATAAATATTTAAGATAATTTAAATTCTTAAATGCATCTTTTGGAATATGTGAAATTTTATTATTTTCCAGAACAAGTTTTTGCAGTTTGAATAAGTTCTCGAAATTTTCATATCGAATCTCTTTGATTGCTGAATTATATGCACTATATGCTGCTAAATTAGAGAACTTTTCATAAACTTTCACTGGCAAATATTCAATATTCTTGTTGTGAGTAATTTCCAATGCCTTTACACACTCTCCGCTTCCAAATATTTCACTTTTTGGAGAAGAAACTTCTTCAAATGAATTGATTTTAAAAGACCATAATTTTCTGTCAATGTCAACCCAATAATCGTCAAAAGAATAACCAGTAATCACTTTAAAGATTCGATTGATGAAATTATCGCGGATATAGTCCATAACAATGACAACCTAAAATGTAAAATTTATTGCTAAATTAGAAATAAATTTAATTCAAACTTACTTGTACATTTTATTAATTTTATTTATTTGCCAACCTTATTTCTCTAAAAACAAATGAAGTTTGAGAGATAATTTTTTTTTGTTAGTCTCAAGACAGGTTTTGATGGCATACAATTAATTTATATTATCTGTTATTCAAATTTGTCAAATCACATAAAGTTCAAAGTAAAAACATATTTATTAAAGGATCCGAATCGTTTATTATTAAAACATTACTGGATTCAGCTTAGAAACAAAAAATGCAAGTTTTTTTAATGTTTTAATATTCTAAGCACCAAAAGTTTCATTCTCCGTTTTACCACGGCACTTAATTTTATTAAAGAAATGTTTCAAAAATTATTAAAATTTATTTATTTCCTTAAAAATTCTTTGTTGATGTCAAAAGCAATCAAAATGAAATAAAACAACAAAAAATGAATGAAAAAGACACACAAAAAAGGTTTTTTCGTGAATGAATACCACTACGCGCACGGCAAGAACCTCATGAATAAAAAAATCCCTAAAGTGAAAGCCACAATCGCAAGAATATAAAAAATAAAACTTTACGGGTGATGCTGGGAAGAAGAAGAGGAGGAAAAAAGTCAAGAGCAGTAAAAGCTTTTATAGCAATTGCCTTTATCATTTAACCATTGAATTTAAGCAGCTCCAGCTGAATGTAAAAAAGCACTTTTCGCCAACGGCTTTTCGTTTCGAGGGGTAGATAAACATAAATAAAATGCGAATTTATTTTGCAGCTATTGTCAGTGAATTGTATAGCTAACATTCATAATAAAAAAAATGTACTGAACACACAGCATTTGTGATGTTTTTAACAGAGGACATGAAAGGAGGACGGCAAGGTAAGAGAAAAGTTTACAACAACAACAAAAGCGAAAAATGAGGGAAACAAAGAAGAGAAGCAAATAAAGATAGACAGGAGCATACAGAGTCGTGGATAGTATCATCATTTATTTTTTATTTGCAAGGTTGTCAAAGATTTTGGAATTATTTGTGCTATTAGTTCGTTTTGACTGGCTCGCCGAACTGTTTATGGTTAAAGGCTTCATCTTTTGATAATTTCCAATTTTTCTTGAACTAGTGATGATTATTGATCGACTGTGAATCAAAGACTAGGTTTAAGTACTTGAAAATTCAATTCTGGTTTGAATAAAATAATTTATTCTGAGTCAAATCATGTAATGTAACGCTTATATCAATGCTAGAAGTCATTAGGCTTAGACAAAAATGTTTGATGTCTTAGACAATCTTGACTTAAATGCCATTTTCTCTGAACCTGATTTATTGTGCTACAACTCTCACCAAACAAGGCTAATCCAAGTCTCATCTATATTTCCTCAGTTGTACTTTGAATTAAATAATCCTTAGTTTTTGAATAAAATTAATGCGCCACTAATTCATCATTCTTTACCTTATTTACTCCCTCGACATGTTTATCAACAAACATAAAAATTTCACGATGAATTCAGTGTCACTTTGAAATCATTGAAATGGGTTTTATGTGTCCTTATATATAGGTAATATAAAGAATTTATAGAACCACATTAATTTTGACTGTAACAATTTTTTACGACGTACAATCAAATGATTTATCTCTGATTTTTCACTATAAAATGTCAATAAGACTATGTGCGTGCAAAATAATAAAAAGGAATGTACAAGAAGATCAGAGAAATACACAACATATGGTCATTGTGATCAATCAATCAATCAAATAGATTTATTTGATCCTGGATCAATAGACACTTCACTTCTTTCTGTTCCTCCATCCCCTCCGTAAAAATAAATTTGTTTTACTATAAATATCATATTTTATTTATAGAAATAATTTAATGATGCTATTTATGACAATATTTTTTGATTGATAATCCATGAAGTTATTCAGAACTTGAGTGATGAAATTTTTGTACAGATGTTGTTGATGGTTATGCTTCATTAATTTTTAATTATTTATGAGCTGATTAAATTATGTCTATTTTTGATAATGACTACATTCATCAGATAGCTGTTTGACATTGAATAAAAATTACTAAATGCTTAACAAAGAAATAAACTTCAGGTATAGTCTAAAATATGTTTTGATAATTTTTAATTCAAAATAAAATCGGGGACCCCCATTTTTATGAAAATTATTCAAAAGACTAGGAAGAATAGTCATAAATTTTAAAATTAATGCAACAATAAGTTAATTGTTTTATGTAAGCACTGAAAAATTATTAAATCTTGATTAATACTCATTTGCCTTTACGGGATTCCCCGTGAATCACCATCTCTATAACATCGACATGTGATTATACATAACGGCTTTGAAAGAATTCCAAAGAGAATCTCGTTTTGCAGTGAGTAAATGTTAACAAGATATGAAACTAATATTCTCTGTATAAAAAAAAGGTAAACAACCAGTTTTTTTGTGAGTAATTGAGTAAATCAGAGAAATAGAAGAAAACTGTGAGAAAATGCTCAAATCTATAAATGTGATAATTATATTTTTAAATTCTCTCCAAAACTGTTTGAGAAAATAAGTAAAAAAGAATTTTATAAAATTTGAACATTCAGCGTTTTCTTGGATAACATTTAGTTATATTTTAGATATGGTCTTTAGAGTCTAATGACTTGTGCTCGTTAATTGCTATTGTTTTTAAACGACGTCCTACTTTCATGTAAAGTTTGGTTAAAAATGAGTGAAAAAAGGTTAATTCCAAAAAAGAAGAATTAAGTCAATACTCTCGCTCCAGGTACCTGATAGTCATTACCTAAGTTTACCCAATCATTATCTCTGTTTTTAAAAAAAAAACAATTTTTTTTAAAACTTCAGCACATGCCAAACAGACCACGCGTAATATTAAAAAAATAAAAATAAATCACATCCAAAATTCCAAGAATTTTAGACAGGTATCATTAAAACAAGTATTATCGTCAATCAGAGCATACGACACCAGCGAGAGAGAAGCATTTTAAATGAATACTGTTACAAGTTTATAACTGGTTTCTAATTTGCACCTAGTTAGTCTCTCAATTTTCGATACTTTTTTTGAGTTTCTTCTTTATAGAATCAATTTATTCTCAGTATAGATTGTGAAGTTATTAGAAGTACAGGTGCCAAAATGTTTAGCTGGAGAGAATTACTTGGGATTTTGATACTTTCTGAGATCGGATGGTCTGGTAAGATTAGAAATTTAAATGAATAATTGTGTGTTTTATTTTATGTATATAAATGAATAAGTTGCAACTTTGCTCACATTTTATTGTGCATGCCACCCACACATACATTTATCATTTTTAATCAAAATTCATTCCAAATATTAATTTCGTATTTAGCTCCAATGCTGTGTCACCTCCCAGACTCATTTAACAAAGGTCATTGTGTATCTACAAAAGACTGCACATCCGTCGACTTATCAGGAAGTTTAATCTCACCAGATGCATTTGAAGACTTTTCAAAGCGACGAGAAAGCTGTTCTGCTTTTGGATCTAACTTAGTTTGCTGTGAAATCACGATGTATACTCCTCAATTTGATCCAATAACTATGATGAGCTCAATGACAACCTCAGAAGCTCCTGTATCAGTTACAACAACCACAACTGTTGAAACAACAACAAGTAAAATAGAAAATACGACAATAGTAAAACCTGATGATATTGAAGTAAAAGTGGAGCTAGGTGACATCACTGATCATAAAAATTTCAAACTTTTTGATCCAAAGACTTGTGGAAAATCATTTTTGAAGAGAGTTGCGAATGGTAAGATATGTATATTAAAACAATAATCATTTCTGTTATTATTAGTAGGGTTCAGAGTCGACTTGGATTTTCCCATACTTTATTTGACAGAGTCTAGTCGAGTCCACTCAACTTCGTTCAAAATTCATGTCGACAAGTTCTTAAAATAAAAGCGTAAATCGCATCAGTAATGTTGCAAAGGAAGAATGGCGTGCAAATTTTATGATATGAACAGATCCGACTTGAACCACTACTAAGCCCTTACATTTAAATACTGAAAATTTGCAAATAATTATTTTTTAGGAGAAAATGCTGAAGTTCTCGAGTTTCCCTGGATTGTTCGTTTCAAATATCAAGGAAAGCGGAAATCTTTTTATGGATGTGCTGGTTCACTGATATCAGGTTAGCAACAACTTCAAAATTTGATTGAATTTCTATTAAGTTTTTAAATTTCCTTTATTTCAGAGTATTACGTCCTTACAGCTGCTCATTGCGTTGTTAACACTGATAAATTGTAATTATGACAAATTCAGCTTTAACTACAAATACTAAAGTTAATAATATTTTCAGAGTAAGAATTCGTCTAGGAGAGCACAATGCGACATCCGATGTGGATTGTAATGAAGAAATGGTTTGTGCAGATCCCGTGCAAGATGTTGAAATTGCATCCATTATTGCACATCCTAAATGTAAGAATTATTAAAAAATTTATCATATAAAAGAAAAAAAAAATCATTTTATTAATATGACTTGCAGATGATCCAGTAAATATAGTCAATGACATTGCATTAATTCGTTTATCTAATCCAGCAAAAGTTAACCAAAATAACATCAGAACTATATGCTTGCCATTAGATGAAGTATCAGCAAAAAGAATAGGACCAAATTATCAAGTGATTGGATGGGGTGCAACAGAAAATAGTACATCAAGTACGATTCTACAAAAGGCTTTTGTTCCACCTGTAAATATAAGTGAATGTGAAGAGAAATTTGCAAAAATAAAGAAATTAAATTTAAGTAATGATCAGATGTGTGCCGGTGGTGTGGCTCAAGTTGATGCATGCAAAGGTGACTCAGGCGGTCCACTTCAAGCTGGCGGTAAAGTTAATAAAATGATTCGAGTTGTACAATTCGGGATTGTGTCGTACGGTGTAAGAACATGCGGTGAAAAAAGCTATCCTGGAATTTATACAAATGTTAAAAGTTATCTACATTGGATACTCGACAACATGTCCTGAATTTAGTTCTAATGGACATAATAGAGATAAGAAGATATAGAAAAACCATTTTTACGATAAGAAAATGTTTATTGTTAAATTAAAAATAAAAATTGGAACGAAAGAAACTCAAATTTGATGTCTGTCCACTTATCTTCGAATAGAAAATCTTTCCAATATCGTTTATGGCATTTTTATGGCTGTTTTTTTTAAGGATTCTTGAGATGCACACAAGAAAAAAAGGGGAGAAAATCGTTTATTTCTGCGGGAATATTCCGATTCAAAAATGAAAATTTTGCATGAACAAAGGCTATTCATAAATATCATAAGTATTTGGTTTCCTTCTTTTTATTTCGAATATCTGATAAGGATCATAAATTCAATAAAATGACATCCCATGGCTCCATATTTTTCTACTCTTTTTCCTCTTTATCGTTTATGTGCAAGCATTAAAACGAATAAAAATGAAAATGTTTTTTTTTTGTTCGATGCTAAAGACTAAATTTGAGAGAAATCGGAAGAAAGAATAAGGAACGAATAATATTTCAATCATGTGTAGAATGTGAAAGGATGATTGTAGTGTGTTTTGGGATGATTTTGATAAGAGCGCATTTTTTTGATATATTCAGTTTCGGAGAAAGGGAGCCACTGGTGCTTTGATCCTGGAAAAAATTGTTATTTAGAGTATGAAGCTATTTAAATGCACTTCAGAACCAAAACTAGAATATTCGTCTGATATAAATAGACGTAGCAAGAAAAGAAGTGTCGAATGGTGTCTAGTCGAAATAAAATAGAATCCAGCTACTTAGTGCCTGCATCCCACCCCCTTCACATATGTAAATTCTTACAAAGCACTTCTAAAAAACATCAACTTCACTTTCTAAATTTTCAAAAATTAAAAAATAAGACAAAATGCTCCCAATCCATCACATTTTCAAACTTATAAATCCCTCGCCAAAAAATTTGGCTGTCAGATTTCATCGAAAATATTCCATTTTAATGAAGATTTTCCTCGTCGTCTTCCTTTTTCCTTTTTCCTTCATTCTCTTTTCTTCATCTCTTTTGTACATTTGTGTGATTTAGGATCATTTTATAAAGGAAACGATTTAAGGGGATATTACATATCAATGATGTGTAAAATTTTCCTTTTCTCAATTTTTTTTATTTTTTTATTTTTCAATAAAGAATTATGATGACAAAAAATGGATTTCATTTATTATTAAATGCTTATTATTTCGTCAATATCATTTGCAGTTGGAGATTTTTTTTTATGAAGAAATTTTTAACTGACATTTTTGACATAATCGAAAGAAATTGAGTTGAATTGTTAATAAAAATGTTTGTTTTTTGAGGATTTAGGGTGAAATGTATGGGGAAAATTGAAATGTCAATGACCTTTTATGTTTGATTTAAATGTTGGATTTAGCTAACAAATTTTACCTGAGAACGACTTATATTGACTCAATTCACAATAAAACCACCATGAAACCTTCGAATATAACACACAAAAAAAATTAATAATCGATTTATTTACATTTTCTATCGCACCATTGTTATCGCAATATAATAGAATAAAGGATAATACAAAATCAATAAATGATTTCGAAGGACGAAGGGCCGTGCGAGTGGAAGTGAAAAATAAATAGTAGGAAGGTCTGTGTCTATTAATTTGCACAAAAATTCCAGTACAAAATTTGATTCAATATTGACTTAAGTGATGCTATTAAATTAGGGATTAGTATCATGGAAAAAAGTAATATGGATTGGGAAAATAATTGAAATCGAGGAAGAATTTGTATAAAAACAAACTAATAAGGAAAGGGAGTTGTAATCAGCTTAAGATTTACAGCTCGACATAAATAATCTTCACTCATGCATGCTGCTACTGAGCACCCTAATTGAAATTGATTATAGTTTTCTTTAGTAAATGAAAATAGAAGAATTAATATCAAAAAAATATAGATTGAGGGACAATAGATTTAAGTGGACTTGAATTTCATTTTAATGATATTTTTTTGAAGGTTCATTAACTCATGATATCAAACAATCGTTGATATTTTGGAATTTTAATAGATTCCACATGAATGTCTTCTTCTGGATGACATAAGAACTCGACCCCATCAAATGCTTCCATTCTTTTAACCATAAAAGCAATTCTTAAACTTACTGCTTTGATGCACATTTAAGACATGAGAAATGATTTATTTTTATCAGCAACATTCGAAAATGTTGGAATTATTTGATAAGAAATAAAGTTGTTCTTCCTGCAATAACACAAAATAAAATTAAACTTAATGATTAATTTTGTCGTTGATGATAATTTATTGGGTCATTATTGAGCAATGATTCTGGGGAAATTGAAGGGGAGATTTCAATAGTTGGATAATTGATAAAATTAGAAAGTTAATTGCTTAATGTAGTTTTGCTAGGGGCGATTTTTTGTTCTGAATCTGTCAATTTTTGTCTGCCATTAAATTTCAAGAAAAAAGTATTGTTTTACATTTGATTAACATGTTTGCTAAATATGACATCAATTTCTTAATTTAAAGCATTTTAAGCACACGAGTCATCACAACAAGTCATCAAATTACAAAAATTAACAGTCAAGAAGATTAGATTTCTCATATCAATTCGTAGCTTCTCAAATAAAGCTCACACTCGTGTAAGAAACTCGATGTTTCGCTCATCTGAAAAGTTCACGAACCACTGTACTAAACACTCTTGTTCTTCATTGTCAGTAGCAACAGCATTAATAAAACATAATGCTTGTAAATAGAAACAAGAGCTGAATAAAAACAAAAGCAAAGCAAAAATCACAGTCAGAAGAAAAAATTTCTCATATTAATTTTCATCTCGCTTTCCTTCTTACTCCACCATCGTCTAGACTAGCTGAAATGTTTTTAATAACTAATACAGAATATTGATTGTGCAGACATTATTTCTGATAACATGAATTTTTTATATATTGCACCATTAAAGCGATTACCAAGTGTAACTGACTTGAGAAGGAAACGATAGAAAGAAAATTAATTGAAGAATAAGAAATTGATAAGATTAAAATATACGATACGATACGTTATTGGAATGAGTATACGTGTATGTGAAGTGTAATATGATGCAATGTTCAAGTGCTGAAATCGCTTCAATAATGTCTAAGAATTTAAGATTAGCTTTGTTTGAGATGAGATTGGAAGTATTTGTTAAAAAAAAAGTTATGTGACTTTAAAGCTTTGAATTTATCTGGGTTGAATGATTTTCAAGAAGTTTTTGAGGAATTAAAGCTCAAAACAAATCATCTCAAAATATCAAAGCAAAACAAAATTGTAAGAAATTTTCTAAATTCTATTAATAAATTTCTACTACAAAGTTATTTAATTCAGATCCTAATCCTATCAAAAATCTTTATTTGGAAAGCATGTTCATGTCTAAAACAATCTAATTTTGAAACAATTCTGGGGTTCGTTTAAAAATGATGTGTCACTCATAAATAAATATATTCATAAATATCTCAAATCTGATCTAGTCTAGGCAAATGATTCAACAACAATAAGAATTGGAAGTCTTTGAAAACATCACTGGCTGTGTAGCTTGGAAATAATATGGGTGACTTCATTTCTGGTTTACACAATTTTTCAAGTGAATTTGTTACTTAATCATTTACCTATTATTGCTTCATAAAAACAATTTTTAAAAATAACAATAATCTACCTTCTTGATAGCTTATCAAAATAAATTTGCAGTCAAATAATAAATTATATTTGAAAGTCTATTGAAGATAACAGCACTAGAGTTGACTTAAAGGTTTTGAGATTAGATTTTTGAAGTTCAAAAATGTTTAAGAAAAAGTTTTAATTTTCATTCAAAAACAATTTTTTATTTTCACAAAAACTTAAAATCTATTGACAGAAACTACTTTAGAGACCTTCGCGAGCATACTTGCTGTCCTTAATATTAGCTAATTTTTCCTTAATTGATTGAATTTGCATTTTACGCTTCTCATCCAAATCAAGTGGATATTTGCTTGGTGCGGCATCAATTTCATTCACAAGTTCCTCAAAACTAATTTCATGCTTAAGATATTTCTTCATTAAATCCTTTCGTTGATCTCTGTCAAGATGAATTTGTTCACTTAGAAATCTAACAGCATCTTCCATGGCATCTTTTGACTCTCGTCTGACATATTCTTTCGATTTTGTTGCTTCAATCACTGCTGCCAATAAAATTACAGCAAAAACTGCCAAGATGAATTTTCTCATTTTGAAAAGCACTTCTTATTTTTTTCTTTCGTTCTGAATCACAAGAAATTTTAAGTCAAACTAAAATTGCTTATTGATTTTCGTTTACTCATATAGAGTGAATTTTTATCATGCGAGGAAGTGATAAACGGCGCGTAGAAGAAGAAAATCGGTATTGATAAGATTAAGACATAATCGGAAAGGTTTTCGTGAGTGTTTTGGTTTATTGATGATAAATTTGTGGGCTGCAACTTGGTTTAATGAGCTGTGCTATGACTAAAGTCTGAATCGAATGAAGAATTATAATTATTAGGGTAGCTTTGTCCGTGGTTTAACATGATGTGACTTTAGCAAAGATATAATATCAAACTCAAGTTCAAACCTATCCCAACTTTACCTATCAAATTACTCCAACCCAAATCTATACGTCTTATCCTTGGAATACCTTAACTGTACTTGACTTACACAGATTTTAGCCATTGAATGTTTTATGAAAGGTCAAAAATTCATGAATGTGAGAATCGATTCAATGATTTACGAAATTTCATTCACGTACGTGGCTTATAAATAAATATACACAAAAGTCTGTTTAACGTACACACAACAAGCATGAAAAATTAATAAAAGTTAATGATTCATTTCATCATAATTTAGTAATCAATAGGATATTGACTTTTCTGTGGGAAATAGAATAATAATGATAATAATAGAAAATGTTGGTAATCAAATTGTGAATCATTGATATTAAGGAGGATTGTTTTTTAGGTCGGTGTGATTCACACGATTAATTTTTATGAATTTTTTCGAAAAGCTGTTTAATCATATTTTGAATGTTCTGTAGATTTTAAGGTACCAATGGCTTGTAAGACTTTCTATCGGAAAGAAAATTCCGAAAGATTTTTCCAAAAATTCCGATTCAGCTCAAAAATCTTCCTCGTTTAATCTCCCTCATACAGCTTATCCTACTTATATCACCTCATGATTTCTTCATTCAATTTTCCTTTCTAGAAAGTAAACTCCAAAATTATTATTTTTATTTGCTACATCAAATATTTACTCTAATACCATACAAACATATTGCATGCATGATACGCTAATTGAAATGTCAGGTTCATGTCTGAATGAGGCTAAAAGAAACGGGATATCTTTATTATGTTATCTATTGCTACCTTTTTTGCACGAAAATAAATCATTAAAACTTATTTGCTTTCTAATTTTACCTACGGTGATTTGATTGCTCATTGTGCTGATATAAAATATAGCTATGGTGTTGTTTTTAATTGGATGATGGTTGTGAGGAATAATCTATAATATTATTGATGAAGGTGTGTGTCTGTGTGTTTGATCTCAATTCTTGTTACTTTTTAAGCTCGTTTATAAAGTGCAGTTTAGGGCTAGGATCACGTTTTAACTGCTCTAAGGTATTTAAATGTTTTATGCCTAAGTACATAAGTTGGTCGGGTCTTAACCAGAGCTCACGTTCTTCAAACATACAAATCTTAAAGATTATTATGTAAAAAATCTCCAATCAATATATAAAATCGACTCTTATCTTCAAAATCTAATACAATAAAACTCGAACAATCTCAAAATTTCCAATCAAATGTGTTTGCCCAAGGAAAAGGATTTGCATGTAAAGTCAATCTAAAAGAAAAACTTTACCTCTCAATTGTGTGCAGTTTTGCCATCAAATTGTTTGCACAAATCCTTTATTTCATCTTGTAAACCTTTCATTTATTTATTTCCTTATAAGATCATTCAAAATGTGCATTATTGAAACTTACATGATATATCAAGTCAATTCTGCTCCTCAGCAGTCAACAATGAATGCATTCATCCCAACAATAAAATATCCAATTTCATCAATATTTCTCCATGAGCAACAAAATACAAGGAAAACGAATGGCAAGAGCACTTATCGAGTTGGAGCTGAAGTTTTATCCATTATGCAATGTTTATATGTGAGATGAGAACAGATAAAAGATCGTAAAGTTCCTCTCGAGAAACTCTCATCGACTATCAATTCAATAAAATAGTTTAGTTATGAGCATTTCTGTGCTTTTCATCGATAAGTGAACATCAATTCACAATCTTACATGTAAGCATGGGTGGTGGAAATATTTAGCTGTGAAGGTACATGCCAGATGAGGGTGATGAAAAGGATTGGATTAAATGAGACAACATGAACACTGATGTTTAATTTTTTTTTTCAAGGGAATGAAATTTGATGCTTTTATTAGTGCTTGTATGTAGATTGAAATATTGGGAGTCTCATATTACATGCAAATTTATTTTTCTGATGCTTATAAGGATGATTCTATCATAGAGATTTATTATGGATACATCACATGTGGTTTGTGCTTACTTTGCATGATTTTATATAAGCTTTGATTTTATTTTCAAGCAATGGAATAATTTAATAACTTTCAAATCAATAATGATAACTTTGAAGTCAGGCGCGATGAGAATTTGTTACCAAATGAGAATTTTCGTGATCTAATTTTAGTTATTTGCAATTATTTGTCCTCAAGACATGTTTTATAGCCATTTGTTGAAATTTTCTATGGAGTCGAGTCAACTCCGCAATCCAAAATCGATGAAAATCTTGAGTCAATTTCGAGCTCTGCTGGTATATGACCACTCGAAATGACCACCTTTAAGATCCTCTTACTTCAAGTTTTTTTTCTTCAGGATTTTCTGGGAATAATCCCAAAAATCCCGAGTATATTCGCCTAAAGTTGAACAGATCTATAGTTGCACTAATCATTAATTTTTAAAAATCATCGAAACTAAAAATCAACACATTCTTCACCCTACTTAAAATTAAAAGTCAACACCCCTATCCCACCTCTCCTCCCTTATCAATTCTCTCTGAAAAGTTAAGAGTCGACTAGAATACAAAGGAATGTATCCATAACATTGATTTTGATTTCCATTATTTTCAATTTTTATTTCATTGTGTGCAAAGTGAAGCATAAAATTGAAAAAAAGTAAGGCGACATACACAGCAAGAGAGAGAGAGTCGAAAAGCAAGTGAGATGGAAAGAATAAAAAGAAAATGTCAAAGATGGAAAAAAAAATTCTGATTCTTTTTCAATAATAAATTTTTACAATTTTCTTCCTTCGTTTCATTTCCACATTGATGCTTTCTTTGTTGTTGATCACAAAAGATACCAGTGAATAAGTGAAGAAATATGATGAGCGAGGAAAGAGAGCGAGATGGTGCGACAAATGGTGATAATAAGGAAAAACATGGTTGGAATTTCTCAGTTGATTCAACAACTATTTTGTGCTACACTTTATGTTTGCCTTGAAGAGATTTTGTATCAATTGATGGTAGATTTTTAATATAAGAAGACTGGCTGAAGAACTTAATAGAATGGAATCTTTTAAAAAATATTTTCTATTTTATAGAAATTACTTTTATGAAATCATTTTGAATTTTGTAAAAAATTGTCATTCCTAAACTCCTTAGATAAACAATACATACCTTAAAAATCTATAAAACCCCCTTTCTGCCTATTATCTTCAATTTTACATCCTGATCCTATTTTTAAACACAAAACATTCAACATAAAAAGTGAGTTAAAGCTATAGAAAATAAGAAAAGCAGAACATGAGTAATTTAATTTATCCAGTGACACTGCAAAATGGCACGGAAAGCAATAAAAAATTTAAAAGAATTTCTTCTTATTTTCCTCTTTTTTAAGCATCCGGCAATCGCCTGATTTATTGCACTTTTTATTGTTATTAAACTTTTAGATAAAATTGAAAACTTGCTCAAAGGCACGGCGACGGGAAAGAATAGAAATGTAGGTGAAGGTGGATGCAAGGGGTGAACATTTGAATTTTTTTTTAAATTAAAAAATTATTTTTTTTGAAATTGCTTGAAAAATAATTCAAAGTTTGAAAATAAATTAAAAATAATTTTAAAATACTTTTAAGACTATTTCCACACCTTGCAAAAGAGTAAGAACTAGGAAATCGTTACACGTAAGTATCATTGACAATTATTAATTGCTCAAAGTCAATTACTTATCGTAAAACCCCTCCATTAAGTGATTTAAGAATAGAAAATCTTGTGAGTCGAGAATTATTTAATGGGATATGAAGATTTTATTTGAGAATTTATAGCAACAAATTGTATTGAACTGTAAAATGAATAAGAAAAAAAAGGATAAAAGAAAATCGAAGAAGCTCTAAGGAATAAATATTCAATTTTGTATTGATGATAATTTCATTATAAAGAAAAACTTTTTTGTGTTTCTTGAATTTTAAGATGGAAAAGGAAAATTGAATTAAGAATTTATGAGAAATTTTAAGGTTTTTGTGGAGAAAATGCAAAAACAAAAACTTTGAAGAATTGTTTATAAATATTCATTGAATGAAAATTGATACAGTTTGTGTTATTTTGTTATAAACAATTTAATTGTGTTAAGGGACACTCAGTTGATTATTTTTGAGTCTTTAATATTTTCTTTGGAATAAGTTTTTTGTAGATTTTTGTCTTAGAACTGTTTTTTCGATGTCTTTAAGATTTGCTGGGTCATTTTGTGGCAAATTTAGCAATCAGTTATTTAGGAATAGATTTAGAAATCTGATATGGATTTTATTTGCCATAGATTAACATCCCCAAATTTAGAATCATCAAAAAAATTCCAAAAACTTCATAAAAACCAATTCCATCTCAATTTTTCACTTCATCAATCAATCAATCACAACTTAGCACACAAATTTCAAACACATCCTATTCAATGACCTCGCCAACCACTTGCACTACCTCCATCCAATACACAAACACTCAAAAATCCTCAATATCAATTAAAATTCTAATCACAAATTTATAACAAAGTCAATTAAAATTAACTCAGTCAAAAAATATAATCATATTTTTCATATCAATTGCAATATGTTCATATTATGTGTGTTTGTGTGTCTGTGTGGGGTAAGTTTGGTTTAGTATGCATATTTGCGTTTTGGAATTTAGATATCTATTATTCAGCAATCAATAATATTCACATATAAATTACTATTATCGTACATGATTATAATGATAATTATTTTCATTTGGTTTATGAAATTGCAATTATTATTGTCGATGAGCAATGATGGTGAAGTTTGTGTCGAATGCTCGGTAAAAATTTTTTTTTGAATAATTTGAATTTTTGTTCTATTTTCTTTAAAAAAATCTAGTAAAAAATTGAATCAGCCACAACATATCAAATTATATTTCCCAAAAAATAAAAAAAATTACAATTTACAATCATTTTCAATTTTTTCCTTCATATCAGCGAACTCATCAGAGTTATAATCAGCATCAATGCACGTGTTATTACTAAGCCCAATAAAATACAAATTTTCCATATTGTCAAACATTGTAGAACTGAGTGATGTTAAAGTATTATTTTCCAACCGAATCCAATCAATTAATTTGTTATTTTTAAAATGTTCATCATTAAAAATACTGAGGCTGTTATCACAAAGTGTGAGATTTCGTAGCTCAATCAAACTGTCAAAAGCATTGTCGGATATAGTCGTGATATAATTTTGCATTAAATTAAGGTCTTTCAAAGTAACAAGATTTTTAAAAATTTGATTATCAATTGATTTTATGGATCCAAATGCTAGATTGAGTATCAAAAGATTATTTAAATCTTTAAATGTGTCTTGTGCTATCACTGTCAAATTTGAATAGTTGATGGCTATCATCCGGAGTTCTACAAGTTTCTTGAAATTCGTGTACTCGATTTGAGTGATGGGGCAGTTGGTAACAAGGAATGCAACTAGATTTGGAAATGTTTTGTACATTTTTGTTGGGAGGTGTTTTACATAATCATTGTTTTCAATAGTAAAGCCTTTTACATATCCTTTTGCTTGTGATTTTACTTCAGCGTTTCTTGTTGATATTTTTACAGCATCATCTGTGTTGAAGGTGTATAATTTTGAGTTAAAATCTTCCCAAGGCTCATTTTCATAATACCCTGTTATGATTCTTGCACCAAAAGTTTCATTAATTGCTGATACAATTATCAGTGGTGCCAGGAAATTCAGTCTTTCCATGAAAAATAATAATTATTTAAAATAGTAATTTGAACTAAAATTAAATGTTTAACTTACAGTCGCATTTGCATTCAATAAACCGAACTTGCTACCAGAAATATCGTCCACTTAATGAGTAAATTTCATTATTAATCTACTCAATTTATTCAAAAAATTATCAAAATTAAGAGCTGAATTTTATTGACCTAGGCTAAATGACTCAGCTCAAAATGACATAATTTAATAAAAAGCATAAATTGATAAGAAATAATTTTAATTAAATATTCTTGAGAAAAATTAATTTGTTATCAGTGAACTTGAAACTTTATTTATTAAATTTTTGACCCAAAATTCACAAAACACAATTATTTCTAATTTTTTCCTTTAAATCTTCAACATTTTCAGAGAAGTACTGTCCGTCAATGCAAGTGTTGTTGAGCAGCGAAACATACACAAAAGATTCCATTCCATCAAACATTGAAGGACTCAAAGATTTAATCACGTTTCTTTCTAACCAGATTGTTTCAATTTTCTTAGTATTTTTAAAATGCTCGTCATTTAAAGCTTCAAGTTTGTTGTAAGCAAGTGAAATTTTTTCCAATGCAGTCAAGAAATTAAATGCATCTTCTGGCACTGATGTAATTTGGTTATTATGCAGACTAAAATAATTCAAGTTTTCAAGTCCTGCAAAACTTTGTGCATCAATAGTTTGGAATAAATTGTCATTTAATTCTAAGCTCTTTAAATTTGTGAGGTCACGGAAAGTATTAGCTGGAATCGTGGAGATTTCATTTAATCCTAAATTCAAATATTGAATATCAGTTAAGTTTTCAAAATTTTCATAGCTTATTTCCTTAATAGAGCAATTTCTAAACTGATAAGCTTCTAAATTTGGGAACTTTTCATAAACAGCGATCGGAAGGAACTGAATAGTTTTGATATCAACAGCCTCAATGGCTTTGACATATTCTTTTGGTATTAATGTTTTGAATTTTATGTCTTTCTTGGTTATGATAACATCAGAGTTAATTGAGTATGTCCATAATTTGACATTAAAATCTGGCCATTCATCATCATCATAAGATCCTTTGATTAATTCCTCGTTTACAGTTGACTCTATTGTGGACAAAATGAGGCAGAGAATGCCAAGAGTAATTCTGTAACAAAACTTGATTATTAGAACTGAACGATGATCTACAAAAAAGTCTATCTTACAAGCGCATTTTTATTCTGAATTCTTCAACTTGATTTAAAGAATAATGTCTACAAACTGAATCATCTTCTTTAAAAATCATCTCAATTTATTCGCATAATTATCACCAAGGCATTTAAGCCAGCGTATCATTTATTTTAAGCTAGCGTTCTAAATGATAACGTAAAAGCCAATAAATTGTTGTCTAACTGTCAATGATAAGCAACATACTTCACTTATGCATTGAATAATAAATGAAACTTGATTTTAAGGAGGAGTGTAGTTCAAATATGAAGTCGTCCTCAGAAAAATCCTAAGAACCGATGAAACCTCAAACATTCCTTCATCATCCAACCCACAATAAACTTCAAGACACACCAAACACAACCCATTTCAAATTTACATCAAACTTTAAAAAAAACTCTACCGAAAAAATTCCATAAAAATAAGCAAAATCGAACATCACGAAAAAAATAAAAATTGGGTCAAAAGACTTCAAAAATAAAAAAAAAATTTTGTTAAGTAAAACGGAAGCAGCAAAATATTGAAAATCGATAAAAACACAAAATGACTTTTCTTTTCTCGCTTCGATTCGCATTTTCACCGAACAATAGTCAAGACATGGAATGAGGAAGGAAGAAGAATAATAAAAAACTTCAAAAAGCATCGTCAGCGATTTTCCTCATGAGGATTTCTTCTTCGATTTCATCAGCATTGTATTTATCATTAACACATCATAGTTATGATTATTATAAATGCTCCGATGATTGCTGTTACAGTTATCGCATCACACTTATCTATATGATGATGCTTGTGTTTGTACAACAGCAATAAATATATCGAAAAATTTTCTTTTATTTTTGTTCTTATTTAATTTAGTAAGCTGATTCTTTTGGTGGATAATATGATGCAAATACTTGCAGATTGAGGATGTCTATTACTTCTTAGTTCCTCTCAGAAGCATAGCAAGGAGAAGGAGGCTCTGCCTCTTGTCAAAGGTTAACGCCCCACTTTGACTAAACCCTTGGTCAACCTTCGAAATATATCATCACCATAAACATCTAAAATTGCTGAACCTCAACTGTCTCAAAGCTTTAAGCGTCTTACTTCATTCACCACCTAACACAAGCCTTCTAACTTCCTCCAATATTTATATTTTTCTTTTCTCATATTACAATATATTCTTCTATTTCTCAATGCCATATCTACGTACGCATTCTCAACAATAATATTATATGTGGCAACGACAAGCATAGAGAAAAATGATAATGATGATTATTGTATCTGTTGCCATATTAAACTTTACGTTACATAGACATTTCATAAATATTTGTTAAGTATAACCCACAAGGGAAGATTGCTGATGTATAATATTTCATATCGTAAACAATCTCTATTGCCATTTAATAGTCATTTTGCGGTTCCTATTTGTTTCATTCCTCATGTTTATATGATTATATGTAATAGTTCTTTCTGTACTTTTCATTCCATTTTCTGTTAAAATTGCATTATGGAGAAAAAGTTTGATTCTGTTGGGATTGCTTTAGGGGGGACTAGAGCACGCAAGATGAAGGCAAAAATGTTTTCTTTGCTGTCCAGTGGGGATTAAATGATACAAGAAATGATAAAATGATAAATTTTTGTTTCATCTATAATACGGGTAATTTATGGAGTATTTTTAATATGTTGTATGGATTTTCAGGGATTTTTTTGGATGAAGGAAATTAGGTCAAAATGCCGGGAGTAAATTCTAGTGATTCAAATTCTTTAAGGTAATATTTTTTATTTCCTCTCTTTTGGAAGTGAGTTGTTGTTGAACCTCAACTCTGCATACACCTCTGAGTTGCATAACATGAAGTTAATAATTATAAAATCAACACCTGACTGAAAATAAGCTTGTTTCTTGGAAGGATAAATATTTAAAATGGTTCAATAAATTTATTTGTTTTCTCTTCCATAGGAGTTGTTCGTGTGTTTTGTAACCTTTCCAAGCGAGTCAAGTTTTGCTGCAACTTTTCTAATTTCTATTCAAAATTATTTTTCAAAATGTCAAAAATGGAAATTTTCTAAAGTGACAAAATATGCAAACGACCTCAAATCACATGAAATGGTGAAATTTGTTTATTCAATGAAAAAAAGTATTTAAATCTGCAGAAACGCATATTCTTAATTCAGATAAAAAAGAATATTTGAACAAGTGAGATCAATATTTCAAAGTTCCATAAACACAAGCACAAAATGAAAGTGTAAGTTGAAATTTTTATTTTTCGCTGAAAATAATTTTGATTTTGATTTTTAGAGTAATCTGCTTATGCTTAATAGCAATGACAGTAGCTATAAAAAATTATACATGTCCAAATAACACAAAAATTGAGGGATTTCCGAGAAAATTTACCTGGATCGGATATGATTGGACGCTTTTGACATTTCAAATCTTTTCAAATGAATGCATAAACAAACGAGATGTGATTGTTACAACCTATGAAGTTGGTGACTTTGAAGCATTCATCATGACAAGCATTAAGAATATAAGTTGTTTACCAATTGAGATTTATAAAAAATTCCCAAAGCTTCTTATTTATGATGCAAATAACTGCGCAGTTGAGAAAGTTACACATGAGAATTTCAAAAATTTAATTAAGCTTAAAGATCTCAAATTGAACAGGAACTATATATCGTCCATAGATAATGACAGCTTTAAAGATTTAGAAAATTTAAGAGAATTATTTTTGAATGACAATCAAATTCAGGAAATTGACCACCAAATCTTTAAACCTTTAAAGAATTTAAGACACTTGCAGCTTGACAACAATAAAATTTCATTTATTGAAAAAAAAGCATTTAAACATTTACTAAAATTGGAACATATATTAATTGGTCGGAATTTTCTCAAAACGCTAAATGATGAACATTTCAAAAGTAATAAGAAATTGATAACAATTTGGCTTGAGAATAATGATATTCTGGTATTGAACAGCACAATGTTTGATCATTTGGCTAATTTAAAATATATTGATTTGAAGTATAATGTCTGCATTGATGATTATTATATTGAAGGTGACTTTGTAAAAATGAGAAAATTAATTGAAAATGATTGTAAACATTTTGAAAAATATTGATTTAAGGAAGGAATAATTTTTTGTGTCGAAAATTAAAGAATTGCACTAAGCATTAGTATTTATGTGAAAAATATCATTGTTATAATTTTTAATTCATAAATATAAGACGTCACAAGAGGTGGGAGGGGGGGGGGGGTATGGACATATGTGACAGTTTTGTAACAGAACGGGGAAGAGGGTCTAAAAATCATGTTTTTTGATGGACATCATAAGTGAATGGCCTCAAAGAGAATGTGAGACTACAAACAGACAGTTCGAGCATTCAAAATGCTGTCATAGTCGCTTTAAGAGTTATTTTCCCCTCTCAATCGATCATTTAATTTCAAACTAGCTGTTCCGATGTAGAAAATATCAGTCTAGCATAGAACATTCAAAGTCAAAGATAACTCTATAAAAATGCACTTGTAAGTTTATTGATTATTCTTGTTATTTTTTATTAATTAAGTATTATTATTTACAGCTTACAGTTCCTAGGAATTATTATTTATTTACAAATAATTGATTGCAATTTTATAAAATCTGGATATTATAAAGATAATCCTTGGTACAAGTTTGAAATGAAGATGTGGACATTCCATATTGATAAAAGTGAGCAAATCGAAGATGATTACATTGAAATTAAAGTTGAAAAATCCGAAAGTGTCAAAGGATTAAGCTTTAAGTATAACCAATTTATTCGTTATGCTCCAATTAATGTTCGACAAGTTTTCCCAAATTTAATTGGATATGAGGCTTTACGAAACTCTTTATTGAAAATTGGATATGTAAATTTTGAAGGTCTATTTGAGCTTCAAATGATTCATTTGGGACAAAATTATATTTCGAAAATACCAATTGATACATTTAAGGATGCAAAAGAATTAAAATTCCTGTACTTAAATGGAAATAGAATTCAAACTTTAGATGGTAACCCGGAGAGCACAAGTCGCATAATCGAGACGAAATCCTACGCAAGGAAGATATCACGGCGACTTTAGGGCAAATTTTTCGTCATGACGAGAAATTCGCCCTTAGATCGTAACCACGTCGCCCTAGCGTAGGATTTCATCTCGATTATCCGACTTGTGCTACTCGGGTAATGTGTTTAAAGAATTAAAGAACTTAAAACTTTTGATTGTGGATAAAAATGGAATTTCTCACCTCCACGAAAGAATCTTTGAAAATTTGACAGAATTAAGAAATGTCTCATTTGCTTTCTTAAAGCTTTCAACTTTAAACAAAAATGTTTTTAAAAACAATAGAAAAGTCGAGTATGTCTGGCTGGAAAATAACAAAATAGAATCACTTAGTCAACTCATGTTTGATAACATACAGAATCTCAAATTCGTTGACTTGAAATCGAACATGTGCATTAATGAGTCATTTTTTGCTGATCGATATATGGAGATGTGCGCGAAAATTAGGAACTATTATAATAATTTAAATAATTGAATGGTTTATTTTTATGTTTTGGAGTATCTAGACGTCAATTTTGGTGGAAAATAATATTTAAAAACTATGTGTCACATAGCTTGATGCCTTAAAATTCACTCCCCTCTTCAAATCATCAAGACTTCATTATTCCATCCAATTAAACATGAAGTACATCTTTATTCAAACATGGCATAATACCATACATAATTTAATTAAAATTAAACTCATTTAAACACAATTGTCTATTAAAAGACCCCCAAAAAAGTGATTCCAAATTAAGATAAAATATGAAAACTACTTGAAATGGAAATAAAAATTTTTATCAGGAAAATACAAATTCATAAAACGAAAAATTTCTTTATTGTTTGCTATAAAAATATTTGTCACATAATTCAGATTCCAATTTCATCTCCCCTAAAAAAAAAAAATACTTTAAGCACATGAAGTGATACGTGTGGGTAGGAATAAAAATCTGTAAATTTTCCTTAAGTCTGCGATATAATTCATGATAACAGAAAATTTCTATTTCAAGTTTTATCAATTGTTGTCCATCCATGTATGGTTTGATTGGGGAGGGAAGTTGTGAGGGAATTTAGGGATGAAAACGTGAATTTTGTTTAGTTTGATGATTTTCTGTTGAAATGTTTTCAAGTTTCTTATATTTTCTATTCTATGTCCTGGTTGCCTACTTATGAAGATATATTAAGCCTTAAAATGGTTCTTATCTTAACTTTTAAAAATAAGTTTTTTTTCAAATGACCACAAAAATCAAAAAATAATTTAAGGTTCAACCTCAAGTGAACCTTTACCCCATCGAAAAATCACATACAAGCCTGCAAATCTAAAAGATTTTCTTCTTTCATTTTTAATAAGTAGCAAAAAAATTTATTATTTTCAGTCATGTACATTGTTCAACAATAAAGACATGAACATATGAAAACGAGGAAGAAGATGAGGAAAAAGTATGAGCGAGAGTTTAATGGCCCATTGACTTCCAGCGACCCGATCATTAGGAACAAATTAAATTAACATAAATGCCACATACGCTTTCAACATTTGCTCACATTTTTATGCAATGAGCGTTCTTTTACAAACATGTCGCATATAGATTTGATCATGTATGTAGATGTGCACAGTAATGTTTATTGTCCGGCTTTTTTTTTGCAATTTAAAAGCAGGAGTCATTTTGATTGAGGATGGAGAGGAGTAGAATATGACATAAATTGAGAAGTTTAATTTTTATTTGTCTGACTGTCCTGTTGCCAGCTTTTGGAACTACCCCGGGCTTCCTTAGTATCAATATTTACTTTTGAGCATGAAGTATCCTGTTTAGCCCTAGAAATCAGACTTAGAAAAAGGTTATTCACGTTGGATAAAAATGAGAAGGAGGTGAGGGGGGGGAGGGGGAGGCAGTAATATTCTGAAAACGAATTTTATAGCTTTAAATTTTTAATTAAAAATGCGTTAATTTCCACTTTACAAAAATTCCCATTCCTCCCTTAAAAGGACTTCAACTTGCCAACGACACTTAACATAAATGAGAGCAACATTTTATGAAAATGAAAGGGCACAAAATAGCCAGAAAGGAAAAGAGAACAGCTTAAAAAAATAATATAAAGTGCAGCATTTTATTATGTTCTTCTGATGGTGCCGTTGCCATTGTTGTTGTTGTTCTATGTCAATAAAACATTCTTCCTTTTCTCAATCTTGTAATCATCCAAATAATAATGCTATATGATTTGAATACTAATGACCATTTTACAAGTACAAATAAAAAATGTATTTTTATGTTCTCAATTTTTATGCCATTGCCTTAAAGGTTTCTTTTAATTTAAATATTCATGTTCGACCCTCACACTTTCAATTCCTTTTGTATTTCGTCATTCTTTCACACTCGCTCGTTATGCCCAATTTAAATTGCCATACTTTAAATGAAAAATCGTCCCCTTCATCTGCCATGCAATTTTTCTTCCACTTTGCCTCCTTCTTTATAGAAAATGTGTGCATAATGTGAGGGTGTGGATTCTTCTCATTCATTAAACGACGATGGTCTTTTCTAGCTCATTCTGATATGCTCTCAATTCTACGTCTCGCTCATGTAGACAATTTTCCTATCGGCAAATTAATGGTCCTAACATCAATATTCAATTTTATTATTATTATGTGACTAAAAAATCTTCTTATGTGCAATTTTAAAATTAAATTTCGTAAATTAATTGTCGAACATTATGCAGAAGAATTTTTTTAATTAAATTCTCATTTAATGGCACGTGTGTACGTGTATGAGTGTATTTATTTTATTTAAATTATTGTTATTGTAAAGTGGCTCCACTTGTGGAGTTAGTGATGCAGAACTAATAAGATAAGTTCGAACTAGTTTGAATGCAGAAAAGAATTTAAAAAGGGGGTCTTGAGGTTCAAGTTGTGGGATTCGAAATTGATATTTAAACGCGCATGTGAGTTACAAATTCAATTTCGGGAGCACCGAAGATAAAGTCGAGTGCCTTCCTTTTGCGGAACCTTCCCTGAGTCAATAAACTTCGGAACTTTGCTTGTAATTAATTCCTCATTTCGTATGCTTCATCAATAAACTTCAACATCCAATCATAAACATCCTCAGCCAGACAGTCACTAAATAAATTTTCCCATTGCATCGCCACAACATTCAACATCAAAAATATTTACTGAACTAAAAATTAGTAAGTAAGATAAATTTACCAGACTCAATTGTTATAAAACAATATAAATTTGCTCATTGAGCCTCTTCACATCCATTAAATCTGCTCATTCAAATAGTGAAAAGGGAATAAATTGAAAACTTTTTCCTTCTTTCTTTCGTCTCTCTTTTCAATTCTTCATTATTGAATGAAATTCTTTTATTTTTGAGAATAAGGCACTTAAAATGCGTTCGATAATGCCAAGATAAGCGGAAAATAGGAAACTGCATAATGAAAAATCAAGAACAATGTAATGAAAAAAATTTTCTAATTAAAGTGTAATTAAAATAATCGAAAATCATTCATGTTTGAAAATAAATTCATAGATTGATGGAAAAATTTATTATTTAAATTAATTAATTTATGTATTAACTCACACATGCATGAAATCGAGGAAAAAAGATAAAGAAAGTAATTTCTCTCGTGGCTTTCTTCCTCTTGAATGTTTTATGGTCAAAAATTTGTAATCAAAATCAATCGACATGAAAACTGGGAGGTTTTTGAGTTTGTGGAATGAAAAAAGAGTTTAGAAATTGTTCAGTTCGTTGGTTTATAGAATTATGACCTAATAAATTAGATATGGATATAGAAAATAATATTTTATGGGAAAAGTTTTGATAAAAGTTAAGAAAGGTAAATAATGAAAATTTTTATAGGTTTGAGTTCAATTTTCTGGAACAAATTACTTGAAGTTTAGTTTTTGAGATTCAGTATCAGATCTAGAATTGGTGGTTTAGATCGTGCTCAACTCTTATCTATAAATTTACTTAATGGGGAGGTTTTTTAATTCAAAACAAAAACCTCAAAATTTTCAATTCTACCAAAATGAATATTAATTAACATCCAACAACACCTTCCAATTCACAATAAAATTTACAAATCATGTAATTCCTAATCCAAAAATACTCATTACAACATTAATTCCATTCATTAAACATTACATCTGACAAAAATTCCACGATTATTTCATATTTTTGTCATTATTGCTTTTGTCCTCTTAATCCTAAATAATGAAAACATCAGCATTAATAACGGCAAAATGGCACTCGCATAATCATAAAACTGAATTTTACGTACTTAAATAAAGTATAAAAGCTAATTAAATATTGTTCCATTATCTGCTTTTGACATGGAGTTTTGTGTACAGATATAAATTTGTGTCTCATTACGTTTCATGTGGAATGGAATATGTGAGGGATATTGTAGTGTAGACACCCTAACAGACAAAGAGCATGCTCTCAATGAGTATGCTCACTAAAATATATTAGCTGAGTATGCTCACGAGTTAACTCAGTCAGTACATTTAATTGAGCATACTCATTGTGAGCATGCTCTTTGTCTGTTAGGTACAGAGAATATGTTAATGTAATATTGTTTGAATTAGATGCTGGGTTTTTATGAAATATGTTGGAATATTGAATGATTTTTAAATATTGATTTATTAGTATTTAACAGGGGCGTAGCCAGGAATTTGAAGAGGGGGATACATTTTTTTTGTATGGATTTAGGGGGGGTGGGAGATTTTTTCGAGTTTTTCATAAAACTCTAGCAAAATGAAGAAATTTCTCAATACGAAGGGGGATATTTCCTCTGAATCCCCACCCCCCTGGCTACGCGCCTGCTACGACCCTAGTTCAAGAACAGAGTTGCAGAGGGCCTTAACTTCATCTTTAAAGGGTTTCTTGCCAATTCTGCTTCATTTAAGCTGTTAAAGATCATCTGAGCAACAGTCAGTCTTTGAAATTCAGTCAACTTCCTCTATACTTAATTCACTATCCAAAGAACTCGAATTATCCAATTAATTTTCGGAAACTAGTAAATATTACATGACTTTTACATCACACAAAACTAACACAAACTTCCAGTTCAATATGATTTACATCCTCAACATTTAACATGCCAAAAAAAGAAGAAGAGATGTAGAAAGTTATGCATGGTTAGGCAAAAACAACAAATAGCTTTATGCAAATAAAAAAAAAATCTGAGAAAAAAAAGCAGCATAATGATCGTTTACACAAGTCGTAATGGCAAGTTTTTGTTAAAAATATTGTTAAAGTAATAAACGAGAAATTATGACATGAATAATATTCATTCGTGGAGTAGGGATAATAAAAAAGGCAGCTACCATATTTTTAAGCTGTAGAATTTTGCGACAAAAAATTAAAATTAATAGGATTTAATATTTTTTGTGTTGTTGTAAATTTTAAGAATCGGCGAAGTTACTGGAAGTTGTAATTGTAAACTTCACGCATGAAATTTAAACTAAAAGTTTTGTAATTTGATAGATTAAGGTGTATTTGA